GTGGAAGTGAAATCTGAACCTCTATATAACATCAATTTCGTGCGTGATTTATAAACCCCGTAAGTCAAGGCACTCTTCTTGGCGGGAGAAAGAAGCGATATGGGTTTTTCCTGCGCAATGAATGCCGAAAATATGAGAAGAGTAATTCCGTCCAGTTTACCGAAAGTTCTCTACACGTCTGGTACTCTGGTTTCCTCCAAATGTAACACTGAAACAATACATATAAAAGTCAGTTGTACAAGGGTTCGCCGTACTAGACCTCTACGTCAAAGGAAAGCAGTTATTAGTTGGGTTATAAATAAAGTTAGTTCGGTCGTTTTGAGTTTAGTGTTACCTCGTGCGTTATAAATTGTGCAGGATAATGTGGTCCTTTATTAGTATAGGTGATTATGCGATGGCGAGTACAATGGATATTAATAGTACGAGCGATGTTAGGAAATTTTGCCAAAATTAGACGAGCCACCTGAGCGAGCCCAATTTAGCAAATTTCCAAACATCACGAGCATTATTAATCCCTAATTGTACGAGCAACATCGCATGATTACTTGTTTATTATTAGCATGACAAAATTGGGTACTTCTCAATATCAATATCAACATCATATTCTCAAAGCCCAGTCTGCCAGACTTTCAACCCAAATTTGGTGCTTTTCTTCGTATTGTCATTTAGTTCTTTTGTTAAAGCAAAATTTTGTGCTTTTGTTCGTATTTTCATCTAGTTCCTCTAGGGCAATTTCATTCATTTTAAAACATTGGTTTAAAATGCCTTTCCGCCATTTTGTTTGTTTTGGAAAAATCATTAATTGTACTACAGTACAATTAATGAAATAATTGTACTCCTCTCAACCAATCAGCATCCAGTAATTTTGGCATGCTAATAATGTAGCAAATGTGTACTCATGTCTGAAATATTTTTTGTTCCTTAATGCCTGCCGTTATATATAGTAGGATGATAGGGGTTATACTTTTATATAGTGCTACTTTTGTATAGTGGTACTTTTGTACATGTATAGTTAAAGTATATTTTAAAGCTGAACAAATGTACTACTATTTAACAAAAATCTCCATTATTTAACAAAAATCTCCATTATTCTAGAATTACAAAATATGTTGCGATGGACTGTGAATTTGTTGGTTTTGGTAAAGAAGCTTCAGAACATATGTTGGCGAGGGTATCAATAGTAAACATGGACTGTGAAGTTCTTTATGACAAACATGTTGCTGCACAAGAAAGAGTCGTGGATTACAGAACTAATGTCAGTGGCATTAAACCTTTCCATTTAAGAAATGGTTAGTTATTTCGGGAGTTATTTATCCAACATTTTGGATATCTCGCTCGATAGAACTGAATGTTGATGGGGGTTTTTTTTTGGTCTAAATTAAACTGTGTACACATTTTCGCTCGGTATATAATCTATGCGAGATGCACAAAATCTTGAATATAAATTTTACTTTATATACCCTTACATTGGCATCACCCTAGTATATAATATATTGTTACAATAACTTGTTGTTAATGCTCGGCAAGTGTACTCTAGCTCAGAGCACTGTCTAATCCAGCATCTCCATACGTCAGTGGTCAGATCGCTCCTATCCGTTTAACATGAATTAATTAATGAATTCGACACTGATATCGAATTCAGTAGTGAAAAATGCATTGCGTAGAATTTGCGGTGATAGTAAAAAAAGTCTTGTGAAAAGTACGACATGAGAACTTAACTGTGTACGATACCAAAACATGCGATTAACATTAAGGACCTCAATTTATCAAAGAGCGATTGATCCTGTCATTTTAAGGTTGGAAAAGCGTTGTGCTGCTTTTCTTGGCGGCGGGAGCACGTCGACAGCTACTAAACAACGTTGATTTCAGGAGGGATGCCGCTTGGAAAATGTTGGGCTTAGGTCCCATGAATTACATTACACGCATTACATTATTATTCAGCCTACTCCCCTATGGGGCTTTTCAGTGACCGATTACATCAAGTATTACGCTTACTTATGTTCACTTATGTTACTTACTTAGCCCAAACTCTTTATCTTTACAACAATTGTGATTACTTTCTTAACTGTGTTTATCTTAACCCACCCTGTCAACTTTCCCTGTGGGAGGAAACCGGAGCACTCGGAGAAAACCCACGACTTTCGGCAGAGCGTTGACTGACTCTTTTCACATGAGTCCGTAGCGAGAATCCGACCCACGAACTCAAAGGTGAATGACGCTTGCTTTGATGACTGAGCCACCGATGCCCAACACACTCTTGTGAAACACACTCTTCCAGGAAAGGCACTATCTACATCACGACTATAGAGTCTATAGTCAAGAAAACAATCTACCATTCTCTCCTTTAATCAGTAAATAATCTATTGAAATGTCCATCTACATGAGCAAAGGTACCGTTGTATCTTACTTTGTTAACATTACAATCACCACAGTCCCCGTTGTCCAGATCATTCTCCAGAAATCCCTAAACGTAGCCGGTAAAGGACCTGAAGGAAAAAGTTGTAAAAGTTGACATCCATAGCTTTTGGCTCAACAAATTTATTATTGCATTAACCTTCTGTTACACACGTAAAAATCTCTTGTAGCAAGCTTGTCAACAGACAACAAGTTATAACAATACTGTTTTTTATCAAGTTGCTACAAGGTTGTTACTCACAACTTGTTGAATTGCAGGACGATAACAAGTTGTTGGAACAACTTGTAACAAGTCGGTTGAACTCAACAACCTTGTGTAGCAAGTTGTCAACAAGCTGGGAACAAGCAGTGCGAACACATCCTGTTGCCGAGTTGTTGGAACAGCATTGCTACAAGTTTGCTGCAGGTTTGTTACAACTTGTGCGTTGTTATGTATGTAGCAGATGTACTAACGACGTGTACCATACCTTGTGCGCCGATGTAGGTATTCTTCCCATGATAGCCATCAACAAAGTTTGCATGAATGTAATCTGTACTCTGAAAAATATAAGATAGATCAATTTTTTCAGTAAATACAAAGAACGAGAGAGTTGTTAAAATCATATTTAGAAAAACGTTCCGCATGTTAATCTTACTTCGTCTCCGCTGACAGGAGGAATGTTGACTCTGGATTGATCAAGACATATCACATCTATATATCGATTCTTTGGCCTGTTGTACGGTGATCTGTGCGGTGGAAATCAAAATTGATGATACCTATATTACTATTTTTCCATTTACTTATAGTAATAGGTATGTTTCATTACAGTCAACGGATGAAGAAGAAGTTTGTGATGTTACTCTGAGTCAGGATCCCCACCTTTTAGTGAAGATGAAATTCAAGGACTTTTCCAGGACTTTCAAGGATCTTTTTCAGTATATTCAAGGACCTTGAATATCTGGACAAAAATCTTTGAAACCCTTAAACTTAAGGAGAGGGATGCAATTAGAAAAAAATGACATCGAAACAACTTTTGGACAATTGTTATACACAATTTTAAATGAAGTTGGAGAAAATAAACATTTGGGCAATAATCCTTGGGCTGGTGATAATTCTTCAAATATTTCCAGCCTAATGAAAAAAAATTCCAGGACTTTAAAGGACCTTATCAGTTTCCAACGACTTTCCAGGCCTGGATTATTTTTTAAGAAATTCAAGGACTTTCCAGGATTTTCAAGGACCGTGGGGACCCTGTCTGAGTGAATATCCACACCGGACAAGCTTGAAAAATATGCCTGGCCACGGTGAGAATCGAACCTATGACCTTTGGATAACTAGAGTACTTCGTCAGAGTAATATCACAAACATCATCTTCACCTGAGTACATAACACCAACACAGAAAAAAATCAGAATAAGGTTTGGGGACTCAATGCAGACATAATAGACCTCATTATCTACACGTGTACTGGGGGGTTTTTCGCCCATTGAACCCACGTTAACCAATCACAGTGTGTTGGTTTAATCTCGGGTTTAATTACCCAGTCGTGATATTACACAATGGTTAAATGAAAACATAGCTATTGGTTGCTCTAGTGAAAATACAATACACACGTGACGATGAACCAACCATTTTTTTGCAAAGACCCAGACAAAAACATAGATGATGACGGTCTATTATATCAAAACAAAACAACAAATTTTCCTTACTTGAAAACATCATATGAAGCTTTTCGATCATATTTCGCCAAAGATTCAAACTCTCTTTTTATTCCACCAGATCCTTGCTTCTTCATATGAGCCAGTAGTTGTTGAACAGTCATACCATCAACTGGAGCTCCGTTACGGGAGGTGCTAATACGGGATGATTCTGCCGGGGGGACATTAATATCTGGTAATTTTTTAGGCTGTTGGCTAGTAGGCTGATGGCTAGTAGGCTGCTTCGGGATATCTAAATGTTACATGAATCATGTCAGGAGAGAGTACGGGTGTTAGAGATGTGCTATCATGCTGCCTCTTAGAGGCGGACCATTAGAAAAGTGATGGGGGGGGGGAGTCTTTTTCAACTTGTACGAATATTTTTTTTACATTTTTTTTACCTTTTTTGCCTGTGTCGATATTTTTTTTAAATATAATCCCTTGCACGAATTTTTTTTTATTTCAACTTATAATTTTCCCTATTGAAAAGTCTCTGCACGAATTTTTTTTTTCAAACTTTTTTGGTGCACGATTTTTTTTTCTTTCTGTTTCCCCTGCTCGATTTTTATTTTTGTCCCCCCATCACTTTTCTAATGGTCCGCCCCTTACCCCTGAATCAAGCCTGCTACACACGTAAAAATATCACATCTTGTAGCAAGTCTGCCAACAAACCGTCAACAAGTTGTGTTCTTCCCAAGTTGTCCACAAGTATGGAACTACTTGTTAACACTTGTAACAAACTTGTTGATATTATCAGACTTGTTGATATTATCAGATTTATTGCAAGGTTGTTCCAACAAGTCCGACACAGTCATGATATAACAACATATTGTTACAACCTTGTGTCGTCAACCTTGTTATTTCATGATTGTACCAGACGTGTTAGAATAACCTTGTGACAAGTCTGATAATGCCATCAAGCTTGTTACAAGTTGTTAACAGCTGGTTCCAACTCCCTTTTTAAATAGCAGAACTTCCTTTTCAAATAGCAGAACTCCCTTTTTAAATAGCAGAACTCCCTTTCTTAAATAGCAGAACTCCCTTTTTAAATAGCAGAACTCCCTTTTCAAATAGCAGAACTCCCTTTTTAAATAGCAGAACTCCCTTTTTAAATAGCAGGACTCCCCCTTTTCAAATAGCAGAACTCAACCCTTTTCAAATAGCAGAACTCAACCCTTTTCAAATAGCAGAACTCAACCCTTTTCAAATAGCTGAACTCCCTTTTCAAATAGCAGAACTCCCTTTTCAAATAGCAGAACTCCCTTTTCAAATAGCAGAACTCCCTTTTCAAATGGTAGAACTCCCTTTTTAAATAGCAGAACTCCCTTTTTAAACTCCCTTCTTAAATAGCAGAACTCCCTTTTCAAATAGCAAAACTCCCTTTTTAAACTCCCTTTTTAAATAGCAGAACTCCCTTTTTAAACTCCCTTTTTAAATAGCAGAACTCCCTTTTCAAATAGCAGAACTCTCTTTTCAAATAGCAGAACTTGTTACAACAACTGGGAACAAGCAACTTGTTTGCAAACCTGTCAAGGCCCATTTCCACTCAAGAAAATGTTCCATGGACACTAAAACTTTCCGAAAATATCATTATTAAAACGTCAAAATTTTTTTCCGACGGAAAATTTGTGTCGGCCAATCACATTTTACAAAATTTTCTTTCTGCGGAAAATTTTCCTGAGTGGAAATGGACCTGAACGCCTTGTGCAATTTTACGTGTGTAGTAGATGGAAATTACGAACGACCTACCAATAGTCTTTCTTCCACTGATCAACACAGGTGCAGTCAATTGAAAACACGGTTCATCACAATTCCCCTCCGCATAGGAGTCCATACACCTCGACATCCATAAACTATGATTGACGTCCCACATACCCCCAAGATTCTTCGGGATACACTCTTGTTCGAGATGTTGCTGAATGTCCCCAACGTCCGCAAATTCAACTCTGTCACGGATTTTTTCGTTCAAAAATGTCGAGATCACTTTGAATGAAATTTTGAACCACAAAGGCGCGGATATTATTAGGATTTTCTTCAGTCTCGCCGGATACGCGTCCTTTAAAATAAACGTTGACTAAATTTACTAAGGCTTTTGAAACCGTTGTATTATGTAGATTTTCTGAAAAAATCTGAAATGATTAAGATTTGGCCAGCATCTATATTCGATATACCCACCTTTGGTGGCAATATATAATCTCAGTATATAATCTCCAAACAAGGTGCACAGATTGAAATACAGCCTACGCTTCTCTTAACAAAATTTCGGTAGCCTTATATAGGAATATGACTCATTCAACGGTTCTCTTAAGCGTCGAAAAACTACTTCCAGAACATATATAAGCTGAAATTAGGTGTTATATAATAAGGCAATCGAGAATCTACCGCAAATGACATACGAAAAATGGCTATATTAACCGTTTGTCCTTATTGGTGGATAACGCAATCATGATGAACTAATTACACATCAAAACTAATTCAACACAACATCTATACACATGAAATAATAAAATACCTGTAACTGAATGTGCTTTAATAATAATAGCAATTTATACGCGTTAAAAATTTTCCTTCTATAAAAATTTAACTTCTATTCAATCTGTGACTACGCTCGACAAAATATCACCAGCGATAGAAATACGTATATTGCTTTTTAAAACGTAATTGCATTGTCATTTCATGTAATACTCTTAGCACAATAAAAATATCAATAACATCACATCCTTTCCCTTTCTGACGCACAATATTACGGAAATTTATTCAAATGAAAACTGTGTTAACTTGGCTTTCTGTAAAAAAACTATACAATTACAATTTTATGAAAACCATTGGACTCTTGGGAGATAAAGACTGGAAGTAAACTCTGGTTAACACTATCAAAGTTTCTGTGATCACAGTAGGAATTTTACATAGATAAATTCTAAGTTTTGAAGGATTTGTAAGAAATGTTTGAGGAACTGACTCAGTATTTAACATTAAATCAGTTCCCTCAAACATTACATACAAATCCTTCAAAACTTGGAATTTACCCATGCAAAATTCCTACTGTGATCACAGAAACTTTGATAGTGTAAAACAGGCTAAACAAAGTACCATATTTGTACACACTGATGATTCATCTGTCAAAATTATGCAAAGTTCCTAATGATCAGTGTGCTGGCCACAATGACAGACATAGATGAATTCAGTACTGAGGTTGTGTAAGGGTGTGTGCAGGACTCTCCTTGGCAAAAGGCAGCGGGATGGGTGTGGCAGTGGGGTGGGGTGTGGTAAGTACCTCCCTCTAGTGCAGCTAAACCATGACCAAGGCACAATATGCACCACCTTCCCCCCATACCTGATCTGGCTGGATCTGTCCCTGATGACAGACAGATGAATTATAACAAACTATATTTTCTTTGCCTGACGCCATCAAAAACGAATCATCAATCTCTGGTATAAATTGGGTAAATGTACACAGAGCCACTGTGTTAAATCCATTAAAATAAATCCAACAAAATGAAGCAATGAAAATTTGAAATACTCCAGAATTATTATAAAAAATTGGCAAGCAAGAGATTCTTACCTTTAGCAAATTAAGAATTTCTATACTAAGTTTGTAATTGAAATTTTCTCTCCCAGAGTCAGTCATGTTGTAAATCAATATCAGGCCATTTCTTTGTGTTGAAGAGCTGAAAGTAAAGGAAAATGTATTTTTTACTCAAGAGGCAATTTTAATTAGTTAACCTTCAAATGAAAGTATTTATCTCCATGTTTTGTTTGGGTCAAGGGTTTGCAGGTCAGAATGGTTGTCCAGGATTGTGTTATTTTATATAAAAATATGTACATGGCTGTTATTAAAAACAAGTACAGACAGTCTACATACTCTCTGAGTGCTTCGTCCAACTGAAATATAAGAGACTGAATCAAAAAAAGATGATCTTTCTCTTCAGGTTTGTAATATTTTCCATTCACTAATATTACAGCAGGTTTGTTTGCCTCTACTCTATCCTGCAACAACAAATCATGATTTAGTTTACCCACACAAGCTTGTTAACCCATTAAGCGCCAGCGCTCTCCCCTTGACGAGTAAAATCGTCTGGCGTTAGACAGAGTAAAATACTAAAGTAGGGTGCATCAGGGTGCAATGCGACTCAATGGGTTAAAGAACCATAGTGCCTGGATATCTAGCTAGTAACTTAAGATCATCCCTTATTGATCTAACCTGAATGTCAGGCCTATTTTTTCCCCGCCTTACACTAAAAGGGAAAATCGGTTAGCATAATTAGACGGGCAAAACATAGGCCTGACAATCAGCATATTATTGATACTACAGGAGGAAACCTACTTTATAAACTAAACTAACTTTATATGTACTGGATAGCTCTATCAGTTCTGAACTGTTTTCCCTAGAGCTCCAGCAAGGGTCATCTCTTATTGATCCAGTATTACTACAGGAGGAAACCTAAACTAAACTAACTTTATTTTCTTCCTAGAAGCCCAGTAAGGATCATCCTTATTGATCCAGTGTTACTATACAGTAGGAAACATAAAGGTATGTTTACACACAATCAGGCCAATTCAGCTTTAATTAAAATGATATGTGAAAAATATGTTGTCAACATCATCAACTGAAAACATTCATCATTAACATTCAGCAAGACCTTAAATCGGCCCAATGAATCGTTGTGTGTAAACATAGCTTAAACTAACATGGATACTTACAAGAATGGTTAGTTTTTCACTCAACAATTCTTTTGACAAGGGTTCATCTAGTGGCTTCATCTCGGCCATCTTGTATTTAACACGAACCTCCAAGTGTCGTTTGAAAAGTTTCGAAGCTCGAGTGACATCAAACTTTCTTGCCATGAGAAATTTGAGAGCCATAGCCGTACTCACAGGAGGTAATCCTGACTTTAACATGTCTGTATTCAGGCTTTCAAGAAAGTTTTGTAATGCCTAAGAAATAAAAATAACAGTAAAGCTTCATGCTTGAAAAATCTTTATGCCTATGTTATCTTAATTATGCCATGTAATCTAAAAATTGGTCACATGGAAATACATCCTTCAGGAAAGTATGTCACTTTGGCTATAAAGCCTCATATTTTTGTGTATGTGACATGAGTTAAAGCCTAACATCTCAACCACAAAAACAGGGCTGTATAGCCAAGGTGACATACTTCCAGATGTATGTATTGCTAGCATGGTCCACTGTTTACTCTGGCAATATTTTTCATCCCATTTCTTTCATTTTTTATCCCTTACGAGTATGTTATGTAAAGATTTCAAGTGTTGGCAGAGTAGAATGCCGGCCATGGTCACAATTTTCCCTCAACTACTTTTTTTATAACAACATCTGTGTCCGAAAATATGTTCCCAGTTGCTGGGAAAATTTCCTCAATGCAACATGTCTCAACGTTTACAATTTTACACTGTCAATTTCTTGTTGAAGAAAAGTTATTGTAATAATGGTGATTTGTACAATTGTAGGAAAATATAACAAAATATATAATCAAAAATAACAAACTATACAATAAAGTACAACACAACATTCTACTGTTAAATACTAAACAGAAAGTTATCGTTCAAAATACGGAAGTGCAGTCCTTAATTACATGCTAATTGATATACCGAATGTTTTATGTAAAGACAGTACAGTACACAATACAAATATTATACCCAAAAATACACACAAATTTAAACATTCCGACCAAAAACTGTACATAACTAGCAAGCTAAATACTTCAGGAATATTTTGAAACTAAACACAGTACAATACAATATAAGTACTTGAATATATTGAGGACCTTTTGTTCATCTTCGTTTAAATCGTTCTTAGAATGTTGTTCGGCCATTTTGTGTGACTGCTGTCCAGTGAAACAGCGCATCTCAAAATACAGGACCGAGCAACTGATGAAAAACGAGGCTTTTGTCGAGTGTGTTTGAATTTTGAAAAACAATATAAAAGTCTTTATATTTTCGTTGTTTCTCAAATAAACGCGAATGTAAAAACAAGATAGAGTATTTCTATAATATATTTACGTGTAATAGACTGTTCTTGAAGTGTAGAAGAGCTAATTTGGACATGGAAATTGGCGAATGTGAATTTTTATATATTCTTGAAGTGATTTTTCATACACGATATAGAATTTACAATAATGATTTGAGGCTGTCGTGTTAACACACTGCCAGACGTTTTATCGTGATTCGAAACACGAAACCTGTGTTAAGATACAAGGAAATTGGCTTGTTTACGATTCTTTGAAGTGTTTTAAAATGACTTTTATAAACATTTTCCATTCTATAATAACCAGTATTTAAAAGAAATTTGACGCGAACGTTGACTTAATTTTTGGACCCGATTACATGATAGTATTAGACTAATTTCTGTAAAAGTATCAGTGAAAGTTTTGTGTAATCTCTGTGAAATATTATCAGTTAAAAAGACCACACATTTTGCTTCCCCTCATGACCCATTAATTACATTTTTATTATCTTTACCAGATCAATATTATGATAAAGATGTTATAGTCTTGAAATATTCAGCTGAAATCACATTTGTTTAAAAAGTAGTTATGTGTTTGTTTTTTCCCTAGGGGCAAATTGTTTATGGTTTCTTGGGAGAGTTACTAACTGATTGTTCGTCGCGCGTCACGCATTTCCGACTTGAAATGATTGAGCTCTAGGTTTTTCATGGACTAAAAGCCAAGTACTAAAAGCCGAGTGTATTTAGTCTTAAAAATGTCTGCTTGCAAAAGATTCTATTAAAAAAATCATTCCCTTTACCGATTGACAACATATTAAAACATTCGATATTGAACAGTTTCAAAATGCAGCGGACCCATAATAGAACCTTATGGTTTTCCACACATAATTTTTACATCCTAAATATCTATATTTATTATACGCCATGCACATTTGATAAAAACAGATATCGAATAATGGCTGGCAAGTCGTTCTCCACGACTCTTTCATTATATGTATAATAACAATGTTGTTGTAAAGAGGTCACCCAGTGCACCTAAAAATATTCGTCAAAAAATGACACCTCTCTAACACTCACACTTCTCTAATACGGACACTCCTCTAACATGGACATCTCTCTAATGCAGACATCTCTCTAAGACAGATATCTCTCTCAATACGGACATCTCTCTAATTCTGACATCTGGAAGTGGAACTGCATATACACACTTATTACACAGGATAAAACGCGGATATGACTGTTAAAAGACATTTTGCGAGAATATAAGCCGTCCGTCCGCCATTCACCCGTCCGTCCGTCATCCATCCGTCCGTCCGTGTTTTATCCTAACACTTCTATACACAAACACATTTAAACAGCTGATTGAAATCTATTTATGAACTGGGAAAAGTCAACAGAACTTCAAGAATGTAAACAAAAATATTACCATAAAAGAAAGCTGCTTTAAGCATCACAAATCATTCGAAGGAGCAATCTTGGGGGAAGGTGGTAAAAGCTCTCTCAAACTGAAGGTAAATGAATGTTGTGTTGTAATATTCATATGAATATATCTTTACCTGGCTTCCTAACTTTATTAAATTTTTAGTTCTTCTGTTAGAAAGTCATGCACATCTTTAAATAATATAATACGAACATTTTTCTTGTAATTGCAAGTTTATGTATGCTAGAATGTGTTATACGTAACTTTTCAAAAAGCTTTTTCAAAGGTTTTAAGAAATATATTAGAAAAGTAAAAGGAGCGCGCAAACGACATGCGCAAATAGGGAGCTTTAGATTTGACTACGAGTACGACTACGAGTACGAGATTCGTCAAGCGAAAACGCATGCTGTATGCTTACGCCATCCCGTACTGACGCGAAAAAGTGGTAGCCGTCGCCCATCTGAGAACGAACTTGCGGATAAATCTCGTAGTCCTCACGACGACTTTTCAAAAAAACAAAGAAAGTTGACTTTTTTTTGTTTTCCAAAAATAATTTCTAGCATTTATATAGCGTTTATCCGGCGCAAATAATATATTAATACTAAATATCTGGCCTGTTTTTAATGTTATGACTTATTTTCACGTTTTGTAGGGGATTTTAGTCTGCAGGAGATTTAGTTTATGAAACTTTTTCTCTCGTTGTTGGTTTACTGCTATAAAAACAACATTTGAGTGAAAACGAAAACGACTACGGTAATTTCCTAGCACGCGATCAAATCTCGTACTCGTAGTCAAATCTAAAGCTCCGTAATAACTTACGTGTGATAGACGCGCAAAACTCATGCCTTAGAAACAAATGTAAAAAAAAGAGAATGAATAATTTTGTATGTCCTAATCCTGAAGAAAGTTTTCATTTTACTTTAAACAGTATCATATAAGATACAAAAGCATGAAAATGCTTAAGCGTCCAGAGATATGTCTTAATGATCGTTGCTAATTCATACACGTGTAATGATAATTCATGTAGATAGGCGAGATTGGCTGACCACAGGGTCATTCTTACAATCATTACTGAATATCCAGAAAAATCATCTTAAAGGATAAATGAAACGAATATGAAAGATTTAAATGCCATTTAGTTAGTCAGATATAATCTGATTGACATCGGGTCCTGATAGCACTACTGGAAGCCCAACTAGTTAATCAAAGTTAATGAACATACTGTAGTTTTGCAAAGCTAAAAATAATATCTGGTGTATCACAAGGTTCCATTTTGGGCCCACTCTATTTTTTAATGATAGATTGTTGAGAAATTGCTTGCATCTTACTTGTCAAGGAGGGAATGTGTTAAAATCTTCCCTAAAATAAATATAAAACGGTCTTCAATATACTCCGAGGACAATTCTGAAATAGAACAGTAAAGACTGATCTAAGCCTAAAAAGGCCATACATTATCGCATACTCGGTTGCAATTCTGTTATGTGATTTAACGATCTGAAATCTTTGCCAAATTGGTTTCCACCAAATTAATTCTGAAAATGATTCTGTGTGTCTTTTGTTTGCCGTATAGTTAATTCACAAATCCTTTATAAATACTAAATGAAACAAATGATATTCATCTAGTCTCGCAGTTATACGAGTTCGGTGAGATATAGAATCGGCGAAATTGGATAGCCTTCCGTGGCTAACCAATGGTTAACCCAGGAATACCCATTAGGGATATAATTGATACTATTATTATTGGTGGGGCTTATAGTTCTCTTCAAATTTTATCAGTGTGAGAAAAAAAAGGCCGGAATACAAATTAACAAAGAAGGTAGAAAAGGGATTGAATTGAATTATTTATGTGTGGTACATGTTACGAATCCAATTTTTTACCTTTACTTTATGACTGAACTGCAACTATACATTGACCCCCACTAAGATATATGGACCCCCACATCTTTTTCAGGTATTGCAGACACAAACCACTGCAGATTATTATAGTTTGAGATATCTTTTTCAGATAGTCCAACTACAAACCATTAATGAACATACTGTAGTTTTGCAAAGCTAAAAATAATATCTGGTGTATCACAAGGTTCCATTTTGGGCCCACTCTATTTTTTAATGATAGATTGTTGAGAGTACTACTCTCACGGAACCACACGTTCGAGATCTTTTTCCGAGGCAGTTCAGACACAAATCACGGCAGCTTATTGTAGAATGCATATATTAAAATACATGTACAACGCTTTAATCGCGGAAACATCTAAGACAAGTGCCAAATGCCATAAAATATGAATCAAATCAGATGCATTGATTTGTTTCCGACATTTTATCTGACAGGCCATTGACGATAATGAGCTTAGTTAAAAATTTATGATCGAACTTAGTTTAAAAATTCTGCTTGTGCAGCCCTGCAAATTGAATCTCAAGAGTTCGCATGTACGAAGTGTGCAGATCATTGGAGAGCAAGAATTTTACGCAAGTCCGAGGAAAGGTGACTGTTAATTTTCTTATAATTTTATATTCTTCTCATGCTTATTGAAAAACACATGGAACGTATGGTGAATAGATTTAGCAGTTAAAAATCGCATTTTGCAGAATTGAAATTTGAGCTGAGCCTAACAAAAACATTGAGACTTTAAGACGCCCCCCCCCCCCTTTGGCTGCAGTGCAAATCCAATTTCATCTATGCAGTCAATCTCAAGCATTTTTGGTCAGAACATCCCTGGGGTGTCGGTCGTGCAGTCTTTATATTGAGTGCATGTATGCGTCTTTCACATTTTAGGAATCGAAGCCCAGTCATAAGCCTAGTTTACACTATTAAAGTTTCTGTGATCACAGTAGGAATTTCGCATAGGTAAAGTCTAAGATTTGGAGGATTTGTAAGAAATGTTTGTGGGAACCGACTATAGGTGCTTGACTATATAGTAATTAGTTCCTTCAAACATTTCTTACAAATCTTCCAAAACTTTATCCATGTACAATTCCTACTGTGATCACTGCAGAAACTCTGACAGTGTATAGACCAGTGCATATAGTGGTGCAGTTAGATGTGACTAGAAGAGTGCTTTCAATTTGACTTCACAAAACATCGCAGGTTCACTTCTGCATTCAGTATACATTGGATCAATATCAGGGATGGCGCAAATTACTCACACATGAATCGTTGAACGCCAGCGCTTGCAAAAAGGACTTAATATAAATGAAACACAAATTGTGCCCTAATTTTATTGACTGCATGAAATAATACCAAGCCTAGGGCCAATAAATATATTTAAATTAGAACAAGTTAATAAGTCGGTAGATGGAAAGCAGCTTTGAAAAGATCTCTTCTTCAGTTATTAAAAACCTAATTATACCGATGAAATTTTGAGGCAAGTTTTGAATTAGGAGCTTAATTGTGTCGCAAAAGATGAAGATACATTGTTTTACAGTAACAAGATTAGAATTAGAAGTCATCTATAGGTCATGAATCTTTATGAAGAATACAAATGAAAACCGGAATAAATTTTATGTCAATCTTCTCAGAAAAAAAGGCGAGCCCATTTTACACTGCTGTTTTCATCTTAACGACTCTACATTGCCCTGTAAAGTTGATAACATAGTTATCTTGCGGGCGTTATCTATAGTTAATAGCCAAATACTGCGGGTTATAAGTATTACATATTAAAACGCTAGACACAATCATATACAAAATTAACGACCGCGAATTTCCCCGTGAATATATATTGTTTCACCGCCCTTTGCTTGATCGAAGGCGTCAGCCGGTAGTATAACGTCAAGGAGTTTCCGTGTCGTTTGAGTGACTTGTTTTTCCACAATAAATAAACTACATGCATCTCTCAAATGCGGTGGTCCAGTGTAAGCAGTGTTCTACAATATGCATGCTGCCGTGGTTTGAGTCTGCACTACATGAAAAATATATCTCAAACGTGGAGGTAGATTGTAGGTAGTATTCTACAATAAGATGTCGTGGTTGAACTCTGCATAAGTTGCATATGAGTTCTAACATATATTTTATTTCCAATTTTACAGTTTGACATTTTGCACCTGTGCGCGCCAATATTTTTATTACCAAAGATGGAAAATTGACATCGTTTGCGCGTTGATAGAAGTGCTTTATTTAACTTCGTAAGTCAAAACAATGAAACTTCAAATTCGACTGATATTAAATTAAAAAGGAACGACGCAATGTGATTAGTGTCTTTTTGTACGAGTATTTTTCACCGCTTACCGCCGAGGCTGTATACATGACAAAGTTTTCAATTAACCGTAGTTTGAAGAAGAACGTTTATTAACATTATAAAAACGAAAAACGAAAAACTAAACTATATCTTTCTGTATACTGGATAGAGTTTAGCAGTTTTATAAACTGTTCTCCCAAGAGATCGTAAGGGCCATATCCCGTCTAGTTCTACAAGAGGAAATTAAAGAGGAGTCAGTACACAGAGGAAAATGGACGGAGAAACTCAGACTGAAACTGGAAGCAGTTTTCTCAAATGTTGTACTGACGGAGGTGAAAGGCACACATGCAGATACATTAACGATTGATCACACTGCATCCAAACATTATAGACTGGATAGTTAAAAATGCGAATTCCCATCATTAATTTTCTGGCACTTGACATTGAGGTAAAAACAAACTTCAGTTCTCATCAAACTTGGCAAGAAAGCCAACATCTAGTCAAAACTTAAGATATTGTTTTGTCAACAAAACTTTAATAATACTTCAGAAGTTCAGAGTTTGCTCAGTAAATACACATTCACACAGATTGACATGATGCAAACAAATTTAAAATTTAGCATTACAAAAAAAATGTTATTAATGTGCATACATAAAAAGACGCGCAACGTTAAATGAAATCAGTTTGCGACAAATCGCCTGTGGGGAGGAACTCTTATAGAAACGTTATAAACTTCTATACAATTAGAAAAATTATAAAGCAATGTCTCAAAGAATAACCGAAAATACAAAACATTGAAAAGGTATATATTTCTACCATGATTATACAATTAACGGTTCTGATATTTCTATGTGAGTACGCGCTTTAAATTATGAGTACATGTGTATGATCTTGGGAATAAAATAACTTATGTAAAAATAAATAGATTGTGAAACAATATGAAAAGCTGCTATAAAGGAGAGAACATTCTCGGCTAGTTTTTGCGGAACAGCGTTAATTAATTAATAGAATAAGAACTGCAGGCAGCGCGCATAAGCAGCAGTATGCTATAAATAATCAGGGAGATTTCATAACTGTGATTTCATAAAGCGTACATGGAAGATCACTCAACACTAAGGTGTACTCCTCAAGTGCATAATCAAGGTGGAACCACGGTGGAATGTCAGCAGAATGCGTCCCGCATGCCAAATTACGGCGCACAAATGCCAACAGGAAGGGTGTTTTGTTCGGAAGAACGAGAACCTTTGTTATTGTGTGCGCGCGAATATAAATTGTTAAAAAATAAGATCATTTTGGCGTGTACTACGAATGTATGTTGAAAATCTGAAATATGAATAAAATAAGTTTCCTTAATAAAAAAAAATTCTGAAAAAAATTAAATGTTGATAAATTCAAAAATCCCATATCAAAAATTGAGACAGAATTTTATCATGCATGCAGGGCATTAAAACTATCCATTATATTGAGAGATGTGCCCGTGAGAGAGAGTTTCGACAGTCTTAAATTATTCATAAATGCATTTTACAATATTTTCATAATTCTCAAGAGAACGAACAACGTTTAAAACAATATAGGGCGTTAACACGTTTGTGGTATTGTTTAAACCACCAGCCTGTATGAGTGAGGTATCTCCAACCTCGATAGCGGAGAAAACAGGAAAGCCACCCTCTAACCAGAATAATGGCCAGACAGCATAATTACTACAACCGCAGTTCTATAGCGTATAAAAAGGTGAGTTTGCTACTATAGGAAACAGTATTTATGAGCTAGTCTACAGTGCGAAGCAAGAATTGTGGATATACTGTATTTATATATTTAAAGGTAACTTGTTTGTTTTACCATATGTTACTCACAAATTCTAGTTTAGTGATATTATAACATGTATGTTTCAAATTTTCAATTCGTGAAACGACCAATATAGTGTTAGATTCAATATACGTGAATTGTAGCTTAGATTATGTTCTATATTGCAATTTATAACAAGAGTCGAAAAGAGAAGTTAAAACTTCATGATAATATAAACACAAAATTAGGGAAAATGTACCAGTTAATATACGAGTATAATTATTGAATGTAACCGGGCTTGTTTCGATGTTTCATGTATTATTATTGATCTTACAAACATGCAACAATATATCGGTGAAATTAATAATGCCCATGCATGTTCGAATACCTGATATATTTTGATCAAGTGACGAGTGATATAATTTAGATAATTAAATTTGCGTAATTTAGATAATTGAATTTACAAACCGTGCGTCACCATTGCGCAAATTATGCTAAGTACTATCTGCTCTGTGCGCAGTCTCTAAACCTGGTCTTATCTCAGCGTCGCGCGCATTATGCACTGGGTTTTTTTTCCAACGTTTCGGTAGAAGAAAATTTCTCATTTAAAATTTGAACCCTGTACGACTATTTTGTCACAAATGATCGACATATATATTATAGTTGGCAAATAAATATTAATTAATAAGATCTACTTACGCACAGATGGGTTGTCTAACTTGGGATGTATGATTTTTTTTCGTTTCAGCCCAACATGTTTGGATATTTAATTCTTCTCCAAGTTCTGGTCGTAATAACTCAAGCAAGGTGAATGACTTGAAATGATCTAAAAGATATGGAAATTATCTTAAACATAATTCCTCCTATGACAACTAGCAGTTAATGCATACTCCATATCACAATGTCAAATAACTGAGCCGTAATAACAATTATTTTTTCATCTCGTTTTCTAGACCAAGTTACGATCAGAATTTTTTCAACACCTTGTATTACAACGACCCCAACTTGAATCCAGGATTCAACCTTGTCGCGTTCAGAATTAACCAGCTAAATCTACACAACCACTATCGCAAAATTCATCGAGTCCCAAAAATGACTTTGGACCCAATGTAGGTTTATGTAAATTTATAGAGAGGACCGCAAAAGGCTGCATTGTTTATAATTATGAAAATTTCACAGATGATTTCACAAGTGAGAAAGCTTTTTCAATCACATATAAACCTCTAATTTCAAATGTGAAAAAATATGTGAAGCTCAAATTTGACATATGAAAATTCTAAATTTCACATATGGAAAACATTGAATGAGTATTTTCACATGTGAAATGTTCCAATTTCACATAATATTTCACATGTGAAATGATATGTGAATTTTCCTAAGGTTCCTTTCATAAGCCAAGTGATCACACTTTTTTTAAATTGAATATAATGAGTTTTTTAATTTCCTTTCCATCAGGTTAACCCTGCAAGCACAGGCGTATGCGGAAGTGCTGGCAGCAAGGTCTGGGGCACTAAACCATTGTGTAAAACCTACATGTGACCGATACGGTGCTGGCGAAAATTTAGCTAGGGCTTGGGGAGCTGAACACGTCGAGACAAATGCCACCAAAGCATGGTACGACTGTCTAAGATTTGTCATCAATCATTTTCCTGTTTTCATTCGTCATCATCACCACCACCATAACTACCACGTTACAGTCATCACTACCATCACCACTAACCCATTATCACCATCAACACGGCCATTATCATCGCCATCCTAAATTTCGTCACCATAATCATTACCATCATCACCACCACCATCACCACCATCACCATCATCCTAACTATCACTTTCGTCACCACCATCACCACCATCACCACTATCACCATCACCACCATCCTAACTATCACTTTCGTCACCACCATCACCACCATCACCACTATCACCATCACCACCATCCTAACTATCACTTTCGTCACCACCATCATTACAATCATTATCATCACCACCATCACCACATCACCACCATCATCATCACAACGACAAATTTTACACAACGTTTATACGTAGGTATGATGAGATCTGGGACTTCAATTATTGTCACAAAGAAAATGGAAAGAAGATGCACAGACCTGGTCATGAAGGAAAGCCGATTGGACATTTCACCCAGGTAAGTTACCTAGTTCATTTACTAAGCACTATCGTGCAGCAGATGCTGGTCAACCTGCAGTTACCAGAGTGAGAAAATAATGTTCATTATTTTCATTATGTTAGTAGTCTTGTATTTGGAGGCAAATAAATAGAATTGAGAGATGTAGTTTAATTTGCTTGCTCATAAAGTGTCAACATTTGACCATCATCTGGAACGCTTACAGAAAATGGAACATGACTGAAACGCTTACAGAAAACCCACTCACAGCATTATTGTTTCAGGTTGTTTGGAAAGATTCAGTAAAACTCGGTGTTGGTTATGCTCGAACTGCCGACAGAACTGGGGTTTATGTTGTTGCAAGATATAAAGCTCATGGAAATGTACCTGGTCTGTATGGTACACAAGTGACAAAGCCATCTTATCTCCTCCGAACATTTCAAAATAATTGTTATCGTGAGTATAGCTTATATTGTTGATGATGATGAAGATAGTTTAAGTTGTGATGTTGGTGGTGATGGTGATAATGATGGTGATGATTGTGGTGGTGATGGTGGTCAGTGGTGATGATAATGATGATGATGATAATGATAACGGTGATGATGATGGTGAAAATAAGGGTGATGGTGATAATGATAGTGATGATGATAGTGATAATGAGGGTGATAATGATGGTGATGATGATAATGATGATGAAGTGATGATGATATTGATGGTGATAATGAGGGTGATGAATGTGGTGGTGATGGTGGTCATGCAGTGGTGATGTGATGATAATTCAAATATAATCATGATGGTACTACCTAACAAACAATTTACCATCACTAGGTACCAACGGAGGTTATTCCAGATGGTCAAGTCCAAAGAAATGCACACAGAGTTGTGGAGGTGGTGTTCGTTTACGGAAAAGAAAATGCACCAACCCTAAACCGTCACTGAATGGCAGAGACTGTGTTGGACCACGCAAAATGTTAGCATCAGCAAAATGGTGCAACATACAGGTATGTCAACACCAGCGACATTTTCATTTGTTAACGTGGAAACCACACCTTTATGTACTTGGTAAATATTTCGAACCGTAAGCCTGGATCTTCACGGAGCAATTATTGCATTTATGGCCGTGTAAATCTACAAGAAATATGCTACGGAATTCCCACAGTCCAACTTTTATTGTCTCAATCATTGTTCCTTTTGCGATATTTCAGAGTTGTCCAGGAAAGAAGAACCATCGTGACCGACAGTGCAAGGCCCGTGGCTATCCCGATGAGTCGCATAACTTCGAAGGCCAAAGTAAGATCACTTCCATCTTAACATTCTCACTCTTAAGCCCAGTTTACACTATCAAAGTTTCTGTGATCACATGCAGTAGGAATTTTGCATAGGTAAATTCCAAATTTTGAAGGATTTTGTAAGAAATGTTTGAGGGACTGACACAGTGTTAAACATTAAGTCAGTTTCCTCAAACATTTCTTACAAATCCTTCAAAACTTAGAATTTACCCATGCAAAATTCCTACTGTGATCACAGAAACTTTGATAGTGTAAACCAGACTTAAACATCACCACTGCTTGACTACCATCTTTTACACATTGAGCACGTATACCTAACCGATTTATCTATCGATAATCAATTAATCTATCGATATATCTATTCCTGCAGATGATTGTAAATTACATTGTTACCAGAAAGCACAAACTTACATGTTGGTTGGCACAGTTGATGATGGTACACATTGCAACAAGGACAGGGGTGTCTGTGTTGTTGGTGTTTGTCAACCAATGCCCAGATATTTTGCTCCAACGAAACGTCCTCCCACGGATTCTTCAGGTAATGGTTTTGGACAACAGTTGTATTCTTCAAAGTTCTTTCCATCTAAAAGGAATTTATCATCAGTATTAGAGATGACAATGATTAGTGCATATGTGCACCTCGACCACCGGATTAGCAGAACTGTTTAGAACTACAGTATAACTAAAAATAGTTTAGTTTAGGTTTCCTCCTGTACGAACACTGGATCAATAAGGGATGACCCTTACTGGACCTCTAGGGAAAACTGTTTAGAACTGATAGAACTATCCGGTATAACTAAAGGTTTCCAAGACAAGACAAGACAAAAACTTTATTGACCCATTTTTACAACAATAAAAGACATTAAATAAATAAACATTTTACAATTCATTATAGGGTCCTGGCAATCCTGAAATAACCTGGGAACACTGGATCAATAAGGGACGACCCTTACTAGACCTCTAGGGAGAACAGTTTAGAACTGATAGAGCTATCCAGTATAACTAAAGATAGTAGTTTAGTTTAGGTTACTGTTTAGAACTAACAGAACAGTTTAGAACTGCTAGAATTATCCAGTATAAATTTAGCTTAGTTTTGACAGTTTCAACTGCTGCATGATCAACTTTTCTAAACGTGATTTCATTTTCCCAGGTGCCATGATCGGCTCGTACACAAAGACACCAAATGCAGATGTGTGGAAGAATAAGGTTTTTGTTGTTCCTGATGGAGTGGTCAATCTTGTGATTACCAACAGAGATTACAAACACGTGAAAATGTGTAAGTTTGAAATATAAAACTAACTTCATTTATAGTACAAGAGGTCAATCATGTCTACTTTTAAACTGCACTAGAAATGGCTGTTTCGCAAGGATTGGGGGAAGATAGGTGTTTCTATATATACACAAGCGCTGTCCACAATAATTTTTGCCGGGATTGTAGTATTGATATATTCCTTCATTTCAGTGGTGGGTTATGAAACGCCTCAAGACAGTGTGGGTTACAATTGGGGTGAAGATGATTGGATGAACAGTTGGGTGGAATACTATGGTTCCTACGAAACAGAATTTATCACAGCGGGTGTTAAATATAAATACAAACGTCTGCCTGGCTATTCCACGATCACAGTTATTGGTAGGTAGAACAATAACTTAATTATTAGTAAGCGTATTGGGTTTATACGTCATATTGTTGAGCAATTTAACCCAGTTTTGTAAAGTTTTTCACTTATTTTTACAGGGCCTGTCCTACCAACCAAAGGATATCATTTGGCTTTATTCGTCCAAGGAAACGCTCCAGCTAAAATTTATTGGAGCTACCGTAACGGCGTTACTGTTTAGATTCTCACTGGTTTTAACTTATACCTCACTTGAAAACATGTGTAATGGATTAAGGGTGCACTATGAAATAATGATGCATACTATTAATAATAGGTTCTCTAGAATTATTACGTTAATGCTATGGTGTTGTTTTAACTCATAAACCATAGTTAATATATTACATTTAATTTATTTTGGGTGTAGTTAGTGTATATATACATGTTAGGCCTAGTAGTGTTTTTCAATTTAAATTGTAAAAGTGATATAGACATATAGTGATAGTGATATAGATAATAATAATAATCAAAATCTGCATTTGTGGTTATTTTTAGGATAGCCTACACGAAAGTAAAAAGGTTACTGTAGCATGCTTAACTCAATAGTGATTTCTGTACAACATCAGATCACTTTAAGGTAACTCATTCAAGAACATGCATGCAGCTACTACCTCTGGATCTAACAAGATCTGGATCTAAGGGTTACGAACTTGGCGAGAGCTCAGAACAATGACAGTGGCTGGTGTTACGTTTACTTACTTACGAATAAAAGTCATCACCATCGCTGGTGCATAATCAAGAATACTAAGATAATAATGGTCACACGTCTGAATGCATATTTACGATGCGTTTCTCGTCTAGACAGATTTCCGTCGGACTTTTCCATCTGTTTGGATGAGAAAAGCCGGCAAAATTTTCATACACAAACTCTTCAAAAGCCGGATTTTCGATATGATGCGTTTGTTTCCCTTGTCTGGAAATAAATCCAGTTACAATTGTTGTAAAGGAAATAACACTTTTATTTTTCTAGCAAGGCTTTCAAACCAGAATATTTAGTGTATATATTTTGCACTGATGAAGATTTCAGGCTGATCCTAACTACCAAAGCTTGCCAAATAAATATACATGTGATTATGTTGTTTTTCACAAAACAAAACAATTATATTCAACAGGATGCAAACGTCCAAAGAATTTACTATTAAATGCAGGTCTGATTAAATTTTGCATGGGCGTATGGGCCATTTTCCAAAATTTTTCCCCCACGGGGGGGGGGGCACGTGCCCCCGATATGTTCTGAAAAAAATATTGTATCTTTGCGAAAATTACGTGATGTTAGGGAAAAATTTTTTATATATCCGGCAAAATTTTCGTCTGTAGAAAAGTATTTGATATGTCCGGAAATTTGTTTTTGGTATGTCCGGAAAAAATTTTTTGGTGACCTCCCCCCCCCACTCGCCAACATTTTGGGGAGAAATATCAATGTTCAGTTTGCCTGTTCGGGCAAACTATACTGTGCCCCCCCCCCCAAACAAGATTAGGCCCATACGTTCATGAAATTTTATCTCACGGAGCTTAATTAAGGTTAATTAAAAGACGCGGCAACTTTTTCAAATGGGGAAAATACATGGTTAATTAAACAACTTGTTTATATATCAATATATTTTCAAACCCATCTGAACAAATTTTATATTAGTATACAATGTCTTTTAGATATATTAAATTTCTTTTTAATATCGTATATTTTGAAAAATGGCAAATACCGTATTGGGCGGTTCTCTTTAAAATCTTTTATTGGACCACTGCACGGGGAGAACAGTTTAGAGCTGAGCTATCCAGTATAAATAAAGTTAGTTTAGTTAAGCTTATTACTCCGTTTATTAATTCAGAAAGTATATAGGGTTTACAAACGCCGCTCCCGATGAGAACAAAATTATTAAATAGCAAGTGGCGCTCTTTTTCACAACGACGCGGCGCTTAATCGAATCTGCACCGTGTGAAAAATTATCCGCGACGCCCAATCGCATGCAGAAGGAAATCTTCAACAAGTCATTTCAGTGTTTTTATAAGTCATCAATAAGTGACGATTCTTACTGGATCTCTATGGAGATCAGCTTAGAACAGATATTAAAGCTATCCAGTGTAAATAAAGTTATTTTAATCTAAAATATGGTTGGCCTAGCTGGACCTTATCATATCCCCTCAAATGTAATGCTTTTATTAGCTTGGTTTGCAAACAATATACTTCAATGAAACTTCATACTTTAGTGAACAAACAACGGTATCAGATCAAACAAATTAAGACAAATGAAAAGGGGATTACTTAACATCACAAAAGGTTGTCTTAATTTATTGCCTTCATTTATCAGACACGCATAAAAGGGGGAACAGCTTAATTACAAATCATTTTTGTAAACTGTTTCACAGCGGAAAGAGTTTCAAGGAAGATAAAAAGCTTGGAAGATAAAACGCTGAAAAGGTTGGTGCACATGCAGTACACATATACTGTTTAATATTAGGTTTTGTCGCACTTTTTTAGGAATGTAATTGTAGAATTTTAAAATTATGTATGTTAAATCTTCAATATACAGTCATTATTGAATGTTGTGAGAAATTTTGATTTGGAAAAGGCATGCATGCAGTTGAGTTGACAGAACACTAGTTATACACGAAAAGAAATGGTGGGCTCAAATCTTTAGGTAGTATATAAGACTCCCAAACTAAAGTACCCAATGTACCTATATAAGGTGCCCATTTCCTAACGCTGATCCTACGCCCTATATAGTAACCCAAAAGCCCGGGTGAAACGGGCATGAGAGTGCATGCATGAGAGTTGGCAATCACAGAATCTTGGTTAGCTGTTCTTAATGCTTTAAATGCAAGCATAATTATACATCTTTGAAATGTGCAAAAAAAGCATGAAAACGAGACTAGTCAGTCTTCTTTGCAAAATCTAGCATAAGCTCTGGTATTTTTAAGAATGAGTGGAGTGGTATTAAACTATAGTAATGTCTAAAAGGGATGGACGAGAGGTAGTTTACGAGATGGTTCCAAAATTGAAATAAGAGTTTGCGTTAGTATTAGGGTTAGTGTGGGGATTAAGGTGGGGGTGAGGGTTAGGTGTGGGGGTTAGGGGTGGGATGAGGGTAAGGTTTAGTATTGTTACAAGTGGCTGCTTGCCGGTTCTTTTATATACGTAAAACTGGCGGCCATCTTCAAAACCTGTCTCTAGTCCATCCCCTTTACGATTACAATTACGATTAGCATTTCTATAGCGGAAATTCACACGTAGATACGATCAAATGCGCTTTACATCAAGTATTATACAATAGAGACCTTAAGATTGACGTTTACGGCAAACATCAAACCGCTAGCGAAGTTTTTGATTTTACAACTCTATAATATTATAGCTTTTACACCAGTTTTGAAATATGTTAAACTGATTAAACTTGTGCTCTTTAGCAATGATTTAAGAAAGCAAATTAACCACTAGTTATGCCATTCACCAAAGCAGTAAATTAAGATTTGGCGTTTGAAGTTGACGTTTGACGTACAAATTTCATGCTTTAACGACTACAAGCCCTCGTAGCAGTTCAAGCATGTAATTTATACGCCAAACGCCAACTTCAAACGCCAAATCTTAATTTACTGCTTTGGTGAATGGCATGATTAGCGGTTAATTTGCTTTCTTAAATCATTGCTAAAGAGCACAAGTTTAATAAGTTTAACATATTTTAAAACTGGTGCAAAAGCTATTATAATAGAGTTGTAAAATCAAAAACTTCGCTAGCGGTTTGATGTTTGCCGTAAACGTCAATCTTAAGGTCTCTAATACCTAATTACATACTTAGCCCAGATTATTTTATCTTTACAACAATTGTGATACTACTTGCTTAACTGTGTTTATCCTAACCCACCCTGTCAACTTTAGCCACGACCATTAGACTATTTAGCAAACTAAATAATGCCCGTGACTTGTAGGTTGTCAGGGGTGTATATACAAAGAGTGTGGGCCATAAAGATCCATATAGAAGGGCCACTTACATCGGAAGCTTTGAAGTTTCTGTCCTCGCGCATGTCGCATTACGGATGTTGGCCGCCATTTTCCTAGCCAGTCAATGACATTTTCTGGCCAAAAAACACGCTGTACTGGCTGGCTGCTTCGCCTTTTGGCCAGTAAACTGCATATTTTTGCATAAAAAAAACGAGGACACATTGCACCGCTGAATGGCCCTTCTGTTACTGATCTTTATTCTGTGGTGTGGGCATGAATACGAACCGGATTTTGGGCGTCTCACTCAAAAGGGTTGGGTGTCGGATTTCATGGGGACTCACTTAATTAAGGGGGCGGTCGATTGCCCTGCCGGAAAATGTTTCTATTTTTAGGGTCTGCGATATAGATGAAAACATTAACTCAGTTTCTCCTCAGTTTGGAAATAATTACAAAATTGGTCCTGAAGAAAAGTGTGGGGGTGGGGGGTGGGGCGTTGACCTACAGGCTGGGGATTCACATCAAAGTGAACGTCATCTCCACATAAGACAGTTGTCCTGGGGCGAGCTCTGAGAGATACGATCCCCCTCCAAATAATTTTTCTCTCTATCGACTGTAGGTTCCGAACGTAAAACCTCTGTCATATTAGACTTGCTCCAAGTCTCTCTTTCATTGTCATATAGTATCGATCCACTATAGTGTACATTACAGTAATGCACACCATAGTGGATCGATACTATATGACAATGAAAGAGAGACTTGGAGCAAGCTACTGTCATATACGCTCCGTTCTCTATTAGCTCAAGTCAATGTAAACACATATTTTTCTTGTGGGGACATGCAAGCCAATTAAACCACACGTTCTTAATAGAAAATAATAATAAGCTTCATTTACACTGACTATTAACGTGAATTAGGCCTATACAGGACAAGCCAATAAATCAATCTTAGCTTACATGCTTGGGCTTGTACGATATTAAGCTAAACATTACAATACTTGATTAATATAGAGTAAAATATCTATACACAGACGGAAAATTAATTAGATAAAATTAAATCATAGTAATGCTCATTAATAATCATTAGGAATGGTTTGGGTTAAAATTGACTTTACTTGTCAGGGCCTTGTAAGCTATACTTAAGTTGCATGCACGGTTGTCAAACTGGTGGAAAGGCTTATTGTTTCACATATCTATGACATGGGCTGTACCAATATAGTTTTGTATCTGCCTTTTCTGATTATTCTAATGATTGGCACAAAAACTCAATTTAAAGTAAAAAAGATTATATGAACTATAGACTATAGTTCATATAATCTTTTTACTGACATAACGACAGGATGCATGGCTGGTGCAGGTAGCTTGTCATACAAATTGAACTGCTATATGCCAATATAATTTCATAAGTGTCTTGAAAGATATGCATGGATACTATAGTGGATGACTACAGAAAAATAATTAAAAGTTTGTATGCACTATAGGTAATTTTTATAAATATACTGGCATAGCGACAGGATGGCTGATGCAGATGGTTTGTAATACAAATTGAAGCTGTGTCAATATAATTTCATAAGTGTCTTCAAAGATATGCATGGGTACTATAGTGGATGACTACAGAATTATAAATTCATTATAGCCCTGGGGTGATATGCATAGATATCTTATATACACAAGATAACGCATCTCTTTTAGTAAAATTGAAGCCAAGAATATTCCAGCGGTTACCCCCATTTGAATAGATGGCAGCCATGTTGGAGTTTCCCACTCGCTAATAAACGCTTAAAAAACAACAATAACTTTCATCATTTGAATAGTTTGAAAATGTATTCGGAATAGGTTTAACTTAATGTTTAAGTTCCCTGTTTAAGAAATAGAAAACATACGAGTCTTCTCATTTCATGGGAATATCCTGAGTCTGCAATCACGGCTTCAATTTTTGAATTGCAGAATAATTAGATGCACTATCTAGTGTATATAAGATATCTATGGTGATATGACAGTTAATCACAGCGGTTGCGGTACATCAAACAAAACGAAGCCAATCGTGCTTATAAGGGCATGCAGTATTAATACGTTACCAACTGAGATCATTGAACTAAAAATAACTGGAACGCTACGTTCAAGCGAAAATTTGAAGCTAAGTTCTACAAGGTCGTACACAGGCTTTAAAAGGCCCGTTTTAAACTGAAAAGGTCCGTTTCCCTTTCGATTTGCATCCTGCCATGAAAACGTTCAAAACGGCATGCTTCGAGCGTCCCCTGTATTGTCTCGCGAGTAAATCGCGCAGTAGAAACACGCGTGGAAGTGCGTGTCTGGGAGTCAAAACTGGCTTCATTTGGCTTCATGGGAGTCAAATTTTGGCTTCAAAATTTGCATGCGCAGTTTACTGAACGTAGCGTTCCAGTTATTTTTAGTTCAATGACTGAGATAGAGGGAACTAATTTAAACATATTGTATTGCTATTAATTTATTTTGTTTTCAAGATAATACAAACTGTAGGCGGTATTATTGTGTTGTTTAGTTTACAGCTTGATAGTTAGCAAATTTTTCTTGGAGAAGTTGTTAAAAGCCCATGAAAAATTCCCATACGGTGCTTGAAACCGTTCAGATTGCCGGGGTAACACCCTGGAGTTGGGATACCTGGTTTACCCTATCAATGTTTCAGTTGTGATCACCGTAGCAATTTTGTGTTGGTAAATTCTAATTTTTGAAAGATTTGTAAGAAGTATTTAAGGGAACTGTTTGAATAAACAGTGGGTCAGTTCCCTCAACATTTCTTACAAATCCTTCAAAACTCAAACTCTATACCAATGCAAAATTCCTACTGTGATCATGAAGTTTGCTTTGAAGGTTAGGTTAACCTCGGGTTAAGTTAATCGACTTTCAAGCCGGCAACCGCCCCATATATAAACATCATATATTCAAAGAACACCCATTGAACGCTAATGAATTATAAGGCCAATCACCAATGGGTGCTCTTTTATTATAACATTTAGATTGGAAATTTGCAAACAATGAAACGGAAAAGTGGAGGTCTTCACTGCACCTACTGAGTAGCGCTATACTCTTGAGTCATGGGTTAAAATATGACCTGCTGTTTTTGTTTTTTTAACTTTCATCAAAAAAATTTTTGTTGAAATATATTTCCATGTTTAAAAAAATGGTACCGAGAAGAATGCTTTTAGGTCTTTCGTTACGATAGTATCAACCAAAATATCTTTTAAACAAACGACACCAGCAACCATTTACTATTGCGAGATAAACTATAACATAGTCATTGTGTCACTGCATGTTTATGAGATTTTTTAAACTGCTCTCAAAATGCTGAAAATAGCGTTTCTAAACACTAGGCAATAAAAAAATTCTGGAGGGGGCGAGGAGCATGCCCCCAGATCCACTGGCACGTAGAGATTTCTCATGCCATCGACTCTCGACTCAGTAAATCTAAGATCTAAATTATTTTATAGATTATTTAAAAACTATTTTAAGCAATCAATAAAATGTAAAGAAAGGCATTAACCTATTATACTCTATTATACTGTATACATCTTTACCACCTACAGTTTTGCACCGCGTACATGGAACAATAGGGGGCTAAAAACACTATACACCCAATACTGATATGCATGAGCACTTCCTGACCCGATCTTCAGTTTTGAAAGATTTCAAGAATCCTCGCATCTTACAAAATTTGAAAGAAAGTACCGAAAGTAACTTCTCATATACAGTCGCGGCCTAATAAGGGGTCATTGAGTACCTTAAAAAAACAGGAAGTTAACTTTTCATGGGAAAAAACTGTTACGTAAACAAAAAATGTAAATGTTAGCATTACAAAGCAAAACATCACATTATGTATGCACCAGTGTTGAGCATAAAAATAGCAGCCAAGTGATCATTTTACGGCCATTTTCAAGCTGCGTGTATACTTGGAGCATCATCATCAAGCACAAGATCAAAGCGAAAAAAAAGGCAAGCAGTTCTTAATACTAAGGTAAAAAGTTTAAACTTATCGGAACAGGTTCTTGCTCGTTTATATACAGAGAAAAAGCAGTTGAAAGTTAGAAGATTTAGATATTATAATTAATGAGACAAAAGTGTTCTATATACAATATTGGTTATACTTTAATTGATTTCTGTAATAATGAATACAGTTCTACATTTATCTATACTGTGTTATTGTTTCCGACGTACCTATGTTAACGATGTCAGTTTCGCTAACGATGTCAGTTTCGCTGAAAGATTTCGAACATATAGAGTTGTATTAATAAAGCGAAAGTGCTTTGACACTATTGGTCATACTTTTATGTCTCTGATTTCTGTAATAATAAATACTGAATTTATTTACACTGTATCATCACTATGGCATGCATGTTGTCAACTTTAAAATGAATTTATTAAACTTTTCCGTATGTGTACTGTACCGTACGTATGAAAAACGCTTAATTAGAAAAAGCTAGCTTTATAGTGATGCCACCCTCCTGTTGATATGAGCTAACTCAACCATACAATTTTAAAATACAAATACAACGTTACTATAACAGTGCTAATGAATCCTACTGATTCAAAATCAAGGGGAATAATGCATTAGCAACTGAGATAGAGGGAACTAATTTTAAATATTTTTGTTTGCAAGATAATTGCTTAAACGCATGAAATTGTGGTCGTGCGCGCTTGCTATGCGCAGAAAACAAATTTTAAACTCGCTCAGTTCAATGACAGTTCCATGTGCTTTTTGATTTTGACGAAAGTTAGAAGATTTAGATATTATAATTAATTAATGAAACAAAAGTGCTTTAATTTACAATATTGGTCATACTTTTGATTTCTGTAATAATGAATACAATTTTACATTTATTTATACTGTGTTATGTTTCTTATTTTATGGCTTAAGTAATTGTTTCCGCCGTAGCTATGTTAACGATGTCCGGCAGTTTCGCTGAAAACGAAGAGAGTGGAATAAATCGCACCCATTTAGCACCAAAATTTAATGTGCGCTACCCTTTGGTTAGATCATACAGAGGTAGTACATGTTCTTGAATGTGAGCTACCTTCAAGTGATCTGATGTTGTACAGAACTCACTGCTGAGTTAAGCATGGTTAGATCATACAGAGGTAGTACATATTCTTGAATGTGGGCTACCTTATAAGACATAGTTAATAGAATAGATGGTTTGGAAACTCATTAGAATAACAGTATAACTAATTATCTATGTTAGTCAACGTTTATTCATAAATCTGTTCGTTCACCGTCACGTGCATATTGTATTTTTGCGCAACTATAACCAATAACAATGTTTTGGAAGTTGCTTTTGGTGGATTTGGCAAAAATACAATACACATGTAACGGTGAAAGACCATACTCATAAATAAACGTTGACTAACATAGATAATGAGTGATGTTGTTATTCTAATGAGTTTCCAAACCCTGTGTTCTATTAACTATGCCTAAAGTAATCTGATGTTTGTCAGCTGCCCAGTTATACAAATAAGCGCATCTAGCACGTCTATTTTCACGACTGATATTGAAAATATTAGCCTACATTTGCTTAGATCCCCTCAAACAATGCTTGAGCGCTCTTTCATCCTAACATCATTAGTAAAAGTGCCGCCTTTCGACTACAAAAGTTTGCTTTTTCCTGCGGAAACTGCAACGCTATAATTAATACACCGATTCATAAGTTATATCAAACAATGACCAGATTAGAGGAACTTGGGCAAATGGTGGTCGGTTGTTTAAAGAACAATTACTGCTAACCCAGAAACCCAGGGTAAAAATATTAAAGGTTAGGGGCTGCATGTTTATATGGTCCCGCTTACCCGGGATTCAATGAAGTGTAACGTATTTTGAGCAATTGAAATACGTGTTTCAGCCCTATAAACACAAGTTAGATAACTTATTAATGTTTGAACGAAATTAGGAACGCGCTAGAAGTTATGTAGTGGAAGAAGACGATTAATAACATTCAACAACATTTGCTTTTTGTCTAAAACATGGAATTTCATACAATTTGTAACAAGAAATTTTGTTAGATCATGAAGTGCGACTTATTTCAATTGCTCAAAATACGTCACACTTCATTGAATCCCGGGTAAGCGGGACCGTATAAACAGCCCCAAAGTTTTAAAACGGACGGACGAATGATAGAGAGATAGGCGGTTTGTGTTATCGTTCGTTATAAAACGTGGCCATGGTTGAATACATTTATATGTCTCTACAACACTTACTAGCTCTGTAGCCACAATAAAAGAAGAACTTGTGTTTTTGCTTTTTGTAGACCAAAGATGATTGGATATTTATTACTTCTTCACGTTCTTGGCGTTATGGTCCAGGCCAGGTAAAATTCGTGAACACCTAAAATTTAATAAATTTCGTGTTATAGCTACCCAGTACCCAGTATAAAGAGGTTAGTTTAATTTAGATTTTCTTCAGGAGTAACATAAGAAATGCCCTTTAATGGACCTCCAGGAAGAATAGTTTAGAACTGATAAAACTATCCAGTATAAATTAAGTTAGTTTAGTTTAGCTTTCTTCCTGTAGTAATAATGGAACAATAAAAGATAAACCTTGCTAGATACGCCTTTTCGGGGTTGGTGACGCCATCTTGCCAACCAGATGATCTTGATACGCGGAAAAGTACTGGCACTAGTTGTCAAATAGAAATCCATTTTATGATTAAAACAACTGAATATCTCCTGTAATATACTTTATTTTGATTCCATATTTTTGTCAGAGCTAGAGTTCTCATAACCAAACATAATTACAAAATTTCAACTAGTTTCATAAAGAATAACGAAAGATATAATTGACTGAATACATCAAAATGGATTTCTATTCGGACAACCCTTTCTGAGCGCTGATTGGCTAAAATACGAACACGAGATCACCTGGAAGTGAGGCAAAACGCAATGGTTAAATTGTGACATTGCCTCGTACCCCTAGGGTCATTGTATTAGGGGGTTTAAGTTTCACGTTTCCGAGAATGGCAAATGGCAGGTAGGAACTTTCTTGGCAAAATTTTCGTTGAACGTTTTCTTTTCATATTTTCTTCCTTGTGTCGAAAGAATAATTATGTATTTCAGTTTTAAAACAGCAAGTTCATTTACTCTTCATTGCCTGATACCGTAAAATTTTTCTTTGCCTGGCATTTGTCGTATAACGCGAAGCTTAAACTCTATATTGCTGCTCTAGTGTGTTTACCCCACTTCGCAAGATGGCGTCGCGAATCCAGAAACGGTGTATTTCTAGGGAGAACAGTTTAGAGCAATCCAGTATAAAAACTACTTAAAGTTATTTTGCTTTTCAGAACCAATCACATTGGTGAGATGATAATGACCAGTTTAATGGAAAACGATGCAAATTTAAACCCTGGTTTTGACATCAACGCTTTCCGTCTTGATCAACTGAACCTACATAACTATTATCGATCTCTACATGGCGTTCCAGCAATGACTAGAAATGCAGCGTAAGTTTATTTCACATACGTAGGTGTCACTAGGAAGGAATGGTTGAGTGGGAATGAATACTTAAAAAGTATGTTTGGTGCTTTATCTGTAAAGTTATGCTAAAATGAAGAGATTTTAGATGGTACGCCAAAGAGAAAATGACGTCTGAAGTTCAGTAAGTTTTGCTAACGTTGCTGTATAAATATGGCGTCAATTTGTATTTAAATTGACAATATTTAACTATTATTTTGTGTTTCTCACCCGCCAGATACGTTTAAAGAGGTTGCTAACTGTGTAAACTACAAAATAAACCTAAAACAAAGACATTTTGAGAGGAACGCCAAAAAGATTTTAGGTTTTGAACACTTTGCATCGCAAATACGTGACATTGAAAAAAATTGCCTCTTAATTCTAACTGCAGCCTGGAAGCTAAAGCTCAAGAATATGCTGAAATATTAGCAGCAAGAAACAATGGACTGAATCATTGCAATCTACCTAATTGTGACCGTGAAGGTGCTGGCGAAAATTTAGCACAGGCTTGGGGCAGTACCAGCGCAGAAACTAATGCAACCAAAGCCTGGTAAGACTGTCGAGTTTCTTTCAATTTTTCATCAAAAACGTTGATACAAATTACTTCTCTTTCGTCATATTTCCTCCCAGGCTTTCATTCCCATTTCCCATTAAGTCATTCAATTCTATCCTTTATTCAATTCTATCGTTCGTTCGTTCGTTCATTTTTTTCAACTTCCTTCCTCGTCGCCATTCTTTCCTTCCATTTTCTGATCACTCTCTCCATTACTCTCTACTTCCTCCGTCCTTTCCTTTCTACCATTATTATTCCCATCCTGCCTTCCTTCATTTTTCTCTCCCTCACTTTCTTTCTTCCCTCCATGTCTCTCTACTTCCTTCGTCCTTTTCTTCCTCCCTTTATTCCCTCCTCCATCTCTGCACTCCCTCCGTTCTCCCTCTTACTTTACTTCCTTCGTTCCATCCACCTTTCCTTTCTTTCCTCCGACCTTTTTTCCTTTCCTCCCTTCCCCCCTCTATTCTTCCTCCCTCCCACCCTCTTTCTTTCCCCTCCCTTTCTTGTACACGTTTCCCCTCATGGAAATCAGCTTCGGTTGACGAGGTCAGCATGTATAAATAAACTTTCTATCTATCTATCTATCTATCTATCTATCTATCTATCTATCTATCTATCTATCTATCTATCTATCTATCTATCTATCTATCTATCTATCTATCTATCTATCTATCTATCTATCTACCCCCTTTCTTTCCCTTCCCCCTTCGTTCGTGTCACTTTCTTCCCTCTCACCCTCTCTTTCCCTTCCCCTCTCCTTCCCTTCCCCTCTCTTCTTCCTTTCCTCTCAACGGCCTCACTTTATCCCTCCCTCCGTTCACCCTTTCCTCCCTTCTCCCTATCCACTATTTCCTCTCTTATTCCAGCCTTCCTCTCCCCATCTCCACTCTTACCTAAGTCTACCTATATCACCTCCACTATATCCTTTCCAAGGTATGACGAGGTCTGGGACTACAACTACTGTCACGACGAAACCAATTTCAAGCGACCTGGACACGAGTCTAAACAAATCGGGCATTTTACACAGGTACAAGGTCTTGAAAGAATCGTATTCATATAACACGTAACGGTTTCTGAAGACTTGACTAATGCAAACTCTATAATTATATCCACATGACACCAAGGCCTGTTGGCAAAATTATAACCAGACAATGATTCCTGTCAAATATGAATAAGATGAAATGACAATCAGACAACTACGCATTGCAGGAATCAAAGTCCAGTCCCAGAGGTAAAAGACTCATCTTCAACAGCTTGGTGAAATCTGTAAATAAAGCTACTGCTACCCCCTCAATCAAACGTAATTTTCTTCCTTACAGGTGGTCTGGAAAGCTTCAGTACAACTGGGCATTGGTTACGCACGAACCGCCGACAGAAAAACGGTTTATGTTGTTGGAAGATATTTGGCACATGGCAACGTTGCTGGACAATATGCAGAAAATGTTCTGAAAGCGAATTATTTATTTAAAACATTTCAAGATAACTGCGCAGGTAAGTCTTTAAAATAAAGCTGGGGGAACGAAATGAAAAGACAATAGAACATCCGATCACTGAATCGTGACTGGAGAACAGTGGGATTTTCAAAACAATGAAAAGACAATGGAACATTCTGATCACTGGATCATGACTGGATGGCATGAATAACAGTGGGGTTTTCAAAACAATGAAAAGACAATGGAACATTCTGATCACTGAATTGTGACGAGAAACTAACTCGAGGCTAACACGTAAAATTCATTATTATATAGTAGAGAGTGAGATACTGAAAATTACACCGCAAGATATTTTCCATACCTTCACTAGTGAAGATATCGATCGCGTGACTTTTTACAAATGACTTTGATTTGCTTGAAACTATATAACGGTGGCTTGAAGATGACTTTTATCTTGCCGTGTAAAAACAATATTTTACTCGCTGCGCTCGTTCGTAAAATATTGTTTTCACCACTCGAAGATAAAAGGCATAGCTTCGCGCCGCCGTGTAATATCCTCTATTTATCTGCTTTTTATTCTCAGCTTATAACGGTGGCTTTTCGGCTTGGTCAGAGCCCGGAGAATGCTCTCAAAGTTGTGGCGGGGGTGTCCGATTCCAGACAAAGACATGTACCAACCCGAAACCGTCATTGAATGGCGCGGATTGTCAGGGTGAAACCAGGAAACTGGCAGCACAAGAATGGTGCAATATTGAGGTAAGAATAATAGAATTGTATGGGCAGTGCCAAGCAAGAGTTTCAAACATTTATGCTGCTGTCTGTATTTTAGAGTTGTCCAGGGGATAAGAACCACCGGGAAATGCAATGCGAGGCACGTGGCCATCCGGCTAAGGCGCATATATTTGACAGTAAGCTTATATACATTTTTTTCTAAACCAAATTAAACGAAGCCTTATTGATGGTGGTCAGAATATAACAGTTCTCTGTAGGAGTCCAAGAGCAAAAGCAAGAGCCATCGTCACAATCATCACCATCACTATTGCCACCACCATTACCTGTAATCACTCTTACCATCATCCCTACCACCATCACTATCACCATCATTATTCCATCATCACCACCACCATCACTACCATCATCACCACCACTATCACCATCATCATCTCACCACCACCATTTCTAACACCACTATCACTACCATCACCACCACCACCATCACCACCTTCATCTCCATTATAACCTTTTCGCGACATGACTGCCACTAAATGAATGTCATTTCACTTCAGATCAGGAGTGTACGTTACATTGTCTAAGCACCACAGTTCCAAATCTCTACAACAGTGCTGGGAAAGTGGACGATGGTACACACTGTAAGTCCGACAAAGGTGTCTGTGTGGAAGGAGTGTGCACAGAAATGCCAGAATATGTCGCACCAACACAACCTCCTCCAACAAACGCTGGAGGTATGTAAGATTTTTTCAGATGCAAAAGTAAGAAGCCGTTGTTTGATTTAATTTCTTTGCTTCCTTTACTTTATTTCCCTTCCTATTTAGTTTCACCTTCCTTCCTTCCTTCCCTCCTTCCTTCCTTCCTTCCCTCCTTCCTTCCCTCCTTCCTCTACCTATTATCTCTCTTTCCTTCTCTACTCCTTCCTATCCCAGTATATTGGAGGCTAAAATGAACAAGTATTGTTATTGGTTTCCAATGATAATCACTGCGTGTGATTCGTTCTTTACAAAACTTGATCTTTCATAAGGCTTATGGTTTCATTGTTATATTCACCATTACAAATGTTGTTCATATAACTTCATCACGACCTCACTTCTTTCCTTTCACCTTTTCCTCCTTTCCTCCTTCTTTGTATCTATCAATACATCTATCATTCCTTCCCCCTCATTCTCCCTCCTTCCACCTTTCCTCTCCCTTTCTCCCCTTTATTCCCTCCTCACCCATATCTTACATATTTCAGGCAGTATCACAGGCTCCTATACTAGCACTCCTAGCTCGAATGTCTGGGACAACATCATATTCACTGTTCCCAATGGTGCAACCAATGTCGTGATCACAAACAAAGACTACAATGCTGTCAGCATTAGTAAGTTAAAATCTTTCATGTTTTCATCAGTTTGAAGTTACTTGCTAGAGTAACCAGGTATAATATCACAGATATTTTGCTTGCTTCTCTTTCAAGGTTCGTTCACACTTTCGATTTTTGCTGCAATAAATGAGTTAGAATGATCTGATGAAGAAGCATGTACTCAGAACATTCGTAATTCATCTACTACTTCTTGACATCCACCAAAAGAAAATGGGACAAACTTAACCCATTGAACGCCAGCGCTCTCCCTTGATGAGTAAAATTGTCTGCAGTTAAACAGAGGAAAATAATAAAGTAGGGCGTATTGGGCAACGCAACTTCCTAGGTTAATAAGCTCCTCATCCAAGTAAGGTACATTCATCAACTACTTAACTCCAATGTCAAACAAGATACTAGTAAAAGACTTTAACCATCTGCTTAAACATGCAGTGCACTCTAATGTGCCTTTCTTGTTATTTTGGACATTCTAATAAAGAATATACAATAATAGAATAATATACAATTTAAGGAATGGGAGTATAAATTTTCTTCATAAACCTATAAACCACGAGTTGCTGTAAAAAATGTAAATATAGGATTTTGGGCAGAAATCTAGCATTGACCCTACTTTTCATCTTAATTTAGAGGTTGGTTACACAACATCTAGGTCCTTAAGTTACCAATTTGGCGAGAGCTCTTGGATGAACAGCTGGGTTGAGTATTATGGATCTTATAAAACAACACAGACAGTGGCTGGTGTTATGTTTACTTACTTACGAACAAAAACCTCTTCAACCTTCACCATTGCTGGTATGTTCATTTGGTTATATCAATTAAACGTAGCATACTAAATCAATTCAGTTAGGAATAGTTTATCAAGTATAGTCAAAGCGCCCTTACAGACACCTCTCTAATACAGACACCTCTCCAATACAGACACCTCTCTAATACAAACTCCTCTCTAATACAGATACTTCTATACTATGGACACCTCTCTAATACAAACTCCTCTCTAATACAGATACTTCTATACTATGGACACCTCTCTAATACAAACTCCTCTCTAATACGAACACCTCTCTAATACAGACAGCTCTCTAATACAGATATCTTTCCATGTGCCCATATAAAGTGTGGTTAAATATATGTTTAAATTTATTTTAATTTAAGGTCCTGTAAACCCAACCAGTGGATACAAGTTGGCTTTATTTGTCCAAGGAAGTTCTCCAGCCAAAATTTCCTGGACCTATGGTGCTTAAACTGTTATATTTCATTTAATACTTTACTGCACTCATATAATACTTTTAGCTCATGCTTAATCTTGTTACACTACGCGGAATGAAAACATGGATCTTTAAATAAAAACCTAGAATCTCATATGTTGTTATTTTTATTTTGTGTGTCACCATTTCAGAACGATGTCACAAAAGTTAAGTAACAATTGGTAACAATTTCCATACACAAAATATGCAAACTTAATCGTAAGGCTATATTTTCAGCATTTTATATACAACATTTCGTAACCAAATTTTGCAAGTTTACTAATTTTAATTAATAAGTTCTTTATGGGAATCTACTTTTTTGCCAAGATCAAAAATTAGTCTATCATGCGAGTTGTCTATTGTGAGTATTGTTATATGTCTGAATGCAAATTTAAGATGCGTTTCTCGTCTAGACAGATTTCCGTCGGACTTTTCCGTCTGTTTGGATGAGAAAGGCCGCAAGGCAAAATTTCATACACAAACTCTTCAAAAGCCGGATTTTCGATATGATGAGTTTGTTTCCCTTGTCTGGAAATAAATCCAGTTACAATTGTTTTAAAGGAAACAATACTTTTATTTTTCTAGCAAGGCTTTCACACCAGAATATATAGTGTATATATTTTGCACTGATGAATATTTCAGGCTGATCCAAACTATCAAAGCTTGCCAAATAAACACGTACTATTTTGCCAAATAGGGCAAAGTCGGGCAATTTTTGGTTCACCGTCGGGCAAAAATTTTTTTGGCGACATCGGGCAAAAACGACCGCCTCCCCCCCAAAAAAAACACATTTTGTTGCCTGTACGCCTATTGCAAATGAATATATACGTGATTATGTTGTTTTTAAACAAAACAATTATATTCAACACGATGCAAACGTCCAAATAATTTACTATTAAATTCAGGTCTAATTAAATTTTGTCTCACGGAGCTTAATTAATTAAGGTTAATTAGCCTTTCCCACGCCGCTATTTTTGGGGCACTTTTTTGCCAATCCTGCGAGCGTAACACCACGAAACGGCGACATTTTATAATTTTGTGGGTGTATGATGGTAAATTTACTCTGCAAATAGTTAGTTTGTTCTGAAATATTGTTTTTCACATTGTTATAATCGTTTACGAAAAATTACAGTACCTCAAAAATGGCAGCGTGGGAAAGGCTAATTAAAAGACGCGCGGCAACTTTTTCAAAAGGGGAAAATACATGGTTAATTAAACAATTTGTTTATATATCAATATATTTTCAGACCCATCTGAACAAATTTTATATAATTAGCATGAAATGTCTTTTAGATATATTAAATTTCTTTTTAATATCGTATATTTTGCAAAATCGCAAAAATATCGTATTGAGCGGTTCTCTTTACAAAATCTTTTATTGGACCTTTGCACGGGGAGAACAGTTTAGCTGAGCTATCCAGTACAAATAAAGTTAGTTCAGTTAAGCTTATTACTCCGTTTATTAATTCAGAAAGTATATAGGGTTTATAAACGCCGCTCCCGATGAGAACAAAGTTATTCAAGAGCTTGCAAGTGCCGCTCTTTTTCACAACAACGCGGCGCTTAATCCAATCAGCACCGTGTGAAAAATTGTCCGCGACGCCCAATCGCAGAAGGAAAACGCCCTGGGTACGATGTTGCAATCTTCAACAAGTCTCGGAACTTTTCCCTCCTGCATTTCAGTGTTTTTATGTTATATTTTGTTGCTAATATTTCTTGTTGTCGCTTATGCAAATAAGAAGCATTTCTTATTATAGACCTTAAGATTGACATTGATGGCAGACCGCAAGCCGCCAGTCACATTTGGAGGGAAGTTCTCAGTCAAATTTCGCTAAGTAGCTCATTCATGCTTCTATTTTAATACACACGTTGTCTTAACGTCGAGCAGCTATGACAGTTGCCTTCAAAATATGATTTGAAGTTTACGCTTTGCGGTCTGCCATATGTAAACGTCAATCTTAAGATCTCTAATGATCCAGTGTTTTACTACGGGACCTAAACTAAACTATTTTATTTATTCCAGATAGCTCTATTCTTGGGTTTCATATGACGTCACAGAAGTGACGGGGGGTCAACTCTAAAACAAAACACAGTTGCCAGAGTGAATCGATTGTTCATTTTATGTATTAGCCTTGTGTTTGGTGGCAAATATACATAGAATTTCCTATCATTTTCTCACTCCAGTACAACATAAACATTAATACATTTGAGGTTGAACCCCCGTAAGATTCACTGCATGATTCTGTAGTGAAACCCAAGAATCAGTTCTAACTATTTTTCCATGCAGAGGTCCAGTAAGGATCATCCTATATTGTCTGGTGTTATTCCAGATAGCTCTATAGCATGCAGTTCAAACTATTCTTCCCAAAGGTCCAGTAAGGATATCCTATATTGGTCTTGTGTTAAAACAACGCCGCGGCGGTTTCAGGCGAACGAGAACGGCGACAAATGCCGGATTTACGTTGGAACACAAGGAAACAAGTCAACGAGCAGGCCAATATACACACGAAAAAAGGTCGACGTTGCCGGTAGTTCACCTACACAACAACTGCTTAAAAAAACTGGTTTAGCTTCAAATAAATCAGTTTCAGTTCGAGCTTTGAAGAGCAAACACAAAGCAATTTATTGGAATTAATTTTTATTCGAAAAATAAAGTCAGGTAATTTACGTCTTTCTGATTTAGAAATAATTGAGCTACCTGTGATAAAAATAAAGTTTCGTTTAGGTTTCCTTCTGTTGTAACCCTTCACCGATATTGACTCATACTTGATCTCTAGGTCGAACAGCTTAGAAATGATAAACAAAGTAAGTTTAGTTTAGGTTTCCTCTTGTAGTTACCATGGATCAATAAGTGATGACTCTTACTGGATCTCTATATATGGAGACCAGCTTAGAACAGATAAAGCTATCCAGTGTAAATAAAGTTATTTTAATTTAATTTAAAATATGGTTGGCCTAGCTGGACCTTATCATAGCCCCTCAAATGTAATGCTTTTGTAAGCTTGGTTTGCAAACAATATACCTCAATGAAACTTCATACTTTAGTGAACAAACAACGGTATCAGATCAAACAAATTAAGACAAATGAAAAAGGATTACTTAATATCACGAAAGGTCGTCTTTATTGCCTTCATTTATCAGACACGCATAAAAGGGGGAACAGCTTAATTAAAACTAATCATTTTTGTGAACTGTTTCACAGCGGAAAGAGTTTTAAGGAAGTTAAAAGGCTTGGAATTAGATAAAACACTGAAAAGGTTGGTGCACAGTACACATATACTGTTTAATATTAGGTTTTGTCGCAGTTTTTTAGGAATGTAATTGTAGAATTTTAAAATTATAGATGTTAAATCTTCAATACACAATCTTTATTGAATGTTGCGTGAAATTTTGATTTGGAAAAGGCCAGTTGAGTTGGCAGAGCATTAGAATATACGAAGAGAAATTGTAGGCTCAAATTTAGGCAGTATATAAGACTCCCAAACCAAAGTACTCAATGTACCGCCCATTTCCTAACCCTGATCCTAGGCCTTACATAGTAATCCAAAAGCCCGGATGAAACGAACAAGAGAGTTGACACGGTCGCACAATCTTGGTTAGCTGTTCTTAATGCTTTCAATGCAAGCGAAATTATATATATCTGAAATTGCAAAAAAAGCATGAAAACGAGGCTGGTCAGTCTTCTTTGCAATCTAGCATAAACTCTGGTATTTTTAAGATTGAGTGGAGTGGTATTAAACTATATGGTAATGTCTAAAAGGGATGGACGTGAGAGGTAGTTTACGAGATGGTTCCAAAATTGAAATAAGAGTTTGCGTTAGTAGTAGTTTAAAGGCCCATACAGACCGGGCGCGATTTGGCAACGCGACGCGAATTTTCCTAATTATATATTTAGCCCAGATTATTTTATCTTTACAATAATGGACCTTTCTCCTTATAACTAAAATTTTGATCTATAGACAAGTCTAGACAAAAATTTCATCACAGCTTGAAAGAGCATCGCAAAATTAGTAATATTCCGAAGTTTCGTTGCGAAATGTTGTAAAATGCGGATAATATAGCCCTGCGAAATTTGCAAATTTCAGTCATTTTGTATTACAAACGGGAAATTGATGCCCCAACACGCGATTGGGCTGTCAATTTCCCGTGCGTAATACAAAATGACTGAAAAACGGCAAATTTCACAAGGCTATCTGCACTGATTTTACAACATTTCGCAACGAAACTTTGGAATATTACTAATTTTGTGATGCTCTTTCAAGCTGTGATGAAATTTTTGTCCAGACTTGTCTAGATCAAAATTTTAGTTATAAGGGGAAAGGTCCATTGTGGTATTACTTGCTTAACTGTGTTTATCCTAACCCACCCTGTCAACTTTAGCCACGACCATCAGCCACGACCATTAGACTATTTAGTAAACTAAATAATGCCCGTGACTTGTAGGTTGTCAGGGGTGTATATACAAAGAGTGTGGGCATGAATATGAACCGGATTTTGCGCGTCTCACTCAAAAGGGTTGGGTGTCGGATTTCTTTGGGACTCACTTAATGAATTGAAGGGTTTTTGTGGACATGGAAAGTTCGAATATAAACACCCTTCAATATTGATATAACCCGCAGTTTCACCTCCTTCCGTCTCAACGCCCATACATGCAACCTCTTAAATGTGACATCTGACATGACGTGATGGGGGAACGGGTGGAAATAGAGATGCCAGGGGCGTAGTCAGCCACAAACGAGTGGGGGCGGGGCGGAGCGGTCGAATTGCCCTGCCGGAAAATGTTTCTATTTTTAGGGTCTGCACGAAACGCTATTTCATGTATTTTAGACACGTTTTATGATATTGGATGGTGTTGATGGGGTATATCGTGAGTCGTGATTCACTCAATTTCGGTTACCGTCAGTCGTGAAAACACTAAAAATTTAGCGTGAATCGTGAGGAAAAAATACTGTTTATCGTTTCAGAACACTTTTCAAAGATTTCCCGTTAAAATACCAAAATGTTACTTATTGTTACCGTTATAATACCAAAATGTTTACCGTTTACTGATTTTCAGACCCCCGCCCCCGCCGCCCCCCACCCAACTAGACCCTCATAATAATTTTGAACAAGCTTTCGTTGCTAGGGATGCAACTACCTGAAAAATATAAGGAGAATTTCGACATTCCGAGCTCTGAGCAAGGCCTCGAACGTCTGGAGTTATTGTTAGCTTTCATGATAATCTGAAAGGCACAGATTTGGTGTATTTCATGTCATAGATGAAAACAGTAACTCAGTTTCTCCTCAATTTTGAAATAATTACAAAATTGGTCCTGACGAAAAGTGTGTGTGTGTGGGGGGGGGGGGGCGTTGTGTGTGTGTGTGTGTGGGGGGGGATTCACATGAAAGTGAATGTCATTTCCAGATAAGACGGTTGTCCCGGGGGGAGCTCTAAGAGATACGATCCCCCTCCAAATAATTTTGCTCTCTATCGACTGTAGGCTCCGAACGTAAAACCTCTGTCATATAAGCTCCGTTTTCTATTAGCTCAAGTCAATGTAAACACGTATTTTTCTTGTGGGGACATGCAAGTCAATTAAACTACACGTTCTTAATAGAAAATAATAATAAGCTTCATTCACATGGACTATTATTTAACGTGAAACTGAGCGTGTACGAATTAATGACTTTGTCAATTAGGCCTATATATAGGACAAGCCAATAAATCAATCTTAGCTTACTTGCTTGGGCTTGTACGATATTAAGCTAAACATTACAATACTTGATTAATATAGAGTAAAATATCTATACACATAGACGGACGATTAATATAAAATTAAATGATAGTATTAATGCTCATTAATAGTCATTAGGAAAGGTATGGATTTTAGAATTGACTTTACTTGTCAGGGCCTGTAAACTACTTAAGTTGCACCGTTGTCAAACTGTTGGAAAATCTTATTGTTTCACATATCTATAACATGGGCTGTACCAATATAATTTTATATCTGCCTTTTCTGATTATTCTTATGGTTGGCAAAAAAACCCAATTTAAAGTAAAAAGATTATTTGAACTATAGTTATTTTTTATAATAAATAAACTGGCATATAAATACAGGATGGCTGGTGCAGGTAGCTTGTCATACAAATTGAAGCTATATGCCAATATAATTTCATAAGTGTCTTCAAAGACATGCATGGGTACTAGTGGATGACTACAGAAAAATAATTAAAAGATTGTATGCACTGTAGGTAATTTTCATAAATAAATTGGCATAGCGACAGGGTGGCTGGTGCAGATGGTTTGTCATACAAATTGAGCTGTGTCAATATAATTTTATAAGTGTTTTCAAAGATATGCATGGGTACTAAAGTGTAGATGACTACAGAAAAAATAATTAAAAGATTGTATGTACTGTAGGTAATTTTCATAAATAAACTGGCATAGTCACAGGGTGGCTGGTGCAGATGGTTTGTCATACAAATTGAAGCTGTGTCAACATAATTTTATAAGTATCTTCAAAGATATGCATGGGTACTAGTGGATGGCTACACAGAAAAACAATTGAAAGATTGTATGCACTATAGGTAATTTTTATAAATAAACTGGCAAAGCGACAGGTGCCTGATGCAGATGGTTTGTCATACAAATTGAAGCTGTGTCAACATAATTTTATAAGTGTTTTCAAAGATATGCATGGGTACTAGTGGATGACTACAGAAAAACAATTGAAAGATTGTATGCACTGTAGGTAATTTTTATAAATAAACTGGCATAGCGACAGGATGGCTGGTGCAGGTGGTTTGTCATCCAAATTGAAGCTATATGTCAACTGATATAATTTCATAATTGTCTTCAAAGATATGCATAGGTAGTAGTGTCTTTAGTACTCCCTTTACATATGTATGTATACTTACGAAAAAAACAATTCAATGTATGTGACGAAAAAAACAATTCAATGTAAAAAGATTATAATTTTATGCACTATAGCACAGAATAACGTATTCTTGTCACACAAAGCTATGCCAAAACAAGTGTCTTTAAAGACATGCATGAGTACTAGTGGATGACCAAAGGCAAAGAAAAACAATTAAAAGTAAAAAGAATATATGTATCATGGTCTTCTCTAATTAATTTCTATACACTGGCATTGCCGAGGGCGTAGCCACAGGGGTGGCTGGTGCAGGTGGCTTGTCATACAAATTGAAGCTATGCCAATATAATTTTGTAAGTGCATGTCTTTAGAGATATGCATGGGTACTAGTGGATTTCCAAAGAAAAACAATTCAATGTGAAAATTTTATATGCACTACAGGTCATTTTTATAAAATAAACAGGCATAACGACAGGATGCAGGTGGCTTGTTGTAGAAATTGAAGCTATGCCAATACAATTTTATGGGCATGTCTTTTCAAGCTAAGTACTAATTAATTAATTAAATTAAAACTCAAATTTCCTGGGTCTTTAAGAAAAAAAAAACGAGTCATATACCACGAGATTCTCAGTATCAAGAACTACTATACTAGTATATAAAATCATCATTTCGTCTCACAAGCACTCAAAAGATATATGCATGGGTACTTATGGGTGACGAAAAGAAAACAATTAAATGTAAAAAGATTATATGCATGCACTATAGGTAATTTTTATAACTGCGTGGCATAGCGACAAGATGGCTGGTGCAGCTGGCTTGTCATACAAATTGAAGCAGTATGCCAATACAATTTTAAAGATATGCATGAGTACTTATGGGTTACCAAAGAAATACAATGATATGTACTCTAATATCACTCTAATTAATTTCTATAATTAAATTAATTTCTGGCTGTACAAGTGCGGCTTACAAATTGAAGCAGTGCCAAGTGCAGTCGTTGCGAGAACTTTGACTGTTGATCCAGTTAATCCTCAGATGTCGAGTGATAGATTTCTGACGTGTCTTAGGTGTGACTGGTAGTCTCTTTCCCATCTAGAGACGTACAGCTTAGATTAGGAGCTTGAGTTTGTAGTTGTCTCTTTGGGCAACAATGGCAATTATAAATTCATTTTTGCCCCAGGGTGATATGCCAGTTAATCACCGCGGTACATCAAAACAAAACAGAGGCAATCGTGCTATAAGGGCAGCAATGTGTTTACCAACTGAGATAGAGGGAACTAATTTAAATATTGTTATTAATTTATTTTGTTTTCAAGATAATTAGTAATTTATTTTGCATGCTAGTACAAACAGCAGACATTATTTTGTTGTTTAGTTTACAGCTTGATAGTATAGCAAATTTTGCTTGTACAAGTTGTTATTAAAAGCCCATGAAAAATTCCCATAATGTGCTTGAAACCGTTCAGATAACAGATTGCTAAGGTGACACCCTGTAGTTGAAATACCTGGTTTACACTACAATGTTTCAGTTGTGATTACAACTGAAAGGAATTTTGCATAGGTAAGCTCTAATTTGTGAAGGATTTGTAAGAAATATTTGAGGAAACTGATCCAGTGTTTAATAAACAGTGAGTGAGTTCCCTCAAACATTTCTTACAAATCCTTCAAAACGTAGAATTTACCTATGCAAAATTCCTACTGTGATCACAAAAACTTTCATGGTGTAAACCAGCTCTTAGTTCAGATATTCAAGCCGCACCGTGGTGTAAGTAAACGATGCTAGTTTGACACAAGTCGCTATATCAGTCACAGTTTTGCACACCGGGGGCTGGTTGTTCAAAGGTGGACTAGCGCTAATTCTCAGTTAAAATTTAACTCGCTGTTTTGGCTTGTGTGTTTCTGCACGTTTTTGAACTCCTATCGATCCAGACAAGATTTCTGAAAAAAAGTTTCCAAATTTATGGACATACAAGCTGTCAGGAAGTTTGCTTTGAATTTTTTAGGTTAGCCTAGGGTTAAGTTAATCGACTTTCAAACCGGCAACAGGCCCTTGTAAACAACATAGTCAAAGAACACCCATTGACCGATAATGAATTATAAGGTCAATGCATGGGTGCTCTTTGATTATAATATTTTACTGTGCTTACAATGAAAGAAGAGTGGAGGTCTTCATTGCACCTACTGAGCAACGGTGTACTCTTGAGTCATGGGGAAAAAAGTATGACTTGCTGTTTTGTTTATTTCAAAACTTTCATAAAAAAAATTTTCTGTTGAAAAATATTTCCATGTTTATAAACAAGCTGTATTGGGAAGACTGCTGTTTCGTTACCTTAGTATTAACCAAAACATCTTTCAAAGAACCGATGATATTGTCTCACTGTTTATGAGATTTATTAAACTGCTCTCAAAATGCTGAAAATAGCGTTTCTATAAGCACTAGGCAATAAAAAAAATCTGGAGGGGGCGAGGAGCACATGCCCCCAGATCCACGTAGAGATTTCTCATACCATCGACTCACGACTCAGTAAATCTAAAATCTAAATTATTTTATAGATTACTTAAAAAGTATTTTAAGAAATGAATAAAATGTAAAGAAAGCCATTAACCTATTATACCCTATTATGCTGTTTACATCTTTACCACCTACAGTTTTGCACCGCGTACATGGAACAATAGGCGGCTAAAAACACTATACAACCAATACTGATATGCATGAGCACTTCCTGACCTGATCTTCAGTTTTGAAAGATTTCAAGGACCTCGCATCTTACAAAATTTGAAAAAAAGGACCGAAAGTAACTTCTCATATATAGTCGCGGCCTAATAAGAGGTCATTGAGTACCTTAAAAAAACAGGATGTTAACTTTTCATGGGAAAAAGGTTACGTAAACAAAAAATGTAAATGTTAGCATTACAAAGCAAAACATCACATTATGTATGCACGAGTGTTGAGCATAAAAAGAGCAGCCAAGTGATAACTTTGTCATTTTGAAGCTGCGTACATTGGAGCATTTTCAAGCACAAGATCAAAGCGAAAAATAAAGGCAAGCAGTTCTTATATACTAAGGTAAAAAGTTTAAACTTATTGGTACAGGTTTTTGCTTGTTTAGATACAGAGAAAAAGCAGTTGAAAGTTGGAAGATTTAGATATAATAATTTATTAATGAAACAAAAGTGCTTTTACACTATTGGTCATGTTACTTTATATCTCTGATTTCTGTAATAATGAATACAATTTTTCATTTATTTATAGTGTGTTATGTTTCTTATTTATGGTTAAGTAATTGTTTCCTATACGTAGCGATGTGAGTTTCGCTATAATAAGAGTTCTGAATACGAAAAGGGGAATGAAGTCTCACCCATTTAGCATCAAAATGTAACGTGGGCTACCCTTTAATAAGATCATGTTCTTCTATATGGGCTACTCTATGGTTAAGCCTCCTGCCACAGGCCTATAGTTGCATTTTTTACAACTGCTCCTGGTATAAGGTCTAAATAAATCTTTAAAATTTACACTCTACATTCCCATCCGCAAAACCCTTCAATATTAGCGTAAAATGATCTGATGTTGTACAGAACTCACTGCTAAGTTAATCATGGTTAGATCATGCAAAATTAGTACATTTTCTTGAATGTGGGCGACCTTAAAGTGATCTGATGTTCTACAGAACTCACTGCCGAGTTAATCATAGTTAGATCATACAGAGCTAGTATATCATAGGGTCCATCATGTTTTTTAATGTAAGCTACCTTAAAGTGAACTGTGTCCGTTGTCCAGCTTTACAAATAAGCGCAACCAGCACGCCCATTTTCATGAATATTGAAAATATTAACCCACATTTGCTTAGATCCCCTCAGGCAATGCTCGAGTGCTTTTTCATGCTTCATCAGTAAAAGTATACCGCCTCCGGACTGTAGTTCTAAACTATAACTAAGACGAAAAGTGACTAAAAGTTCGCTTTTTCCCCCCAGCTGAAACTCCAACGCTATAATATATAATTAATACACCGATTCATAAGTTATATCGAACAATGACCGGATAGAATGGAATTTGCCCAAACGTAGCCTACAGTGTAGACCCCAGCAGAAACTAGGCAGGCTAGCGGAAACGGTGATCGGTTGATTAATGAACAACAAGATGTCAGGTCAAGCGTTCACTCCGGCTGGGGGGGGGGGAGGCTGGGCGACATCATGCACACAAAATTGGTAGAGCGTAAAAACAAAGATGCGTATGTTATACACAAGCCACAAGGTCTGAAATTTTAATTTTCCTTAATTTTCCAGCATCGAAACTAGGATATTACCCACGCCTTTGTCTGAAAATAATCTTAGTTTAAATGCCTCTTTTATGTCATACTCAAATAGCAAATGTGAACTAAATGGGTTTTTCGAGTCGTCGCACAAAGAAAAACACATTAATTGAACGCGGAAAAAAGTCCAGAGTGTGATACAATGTAAAGTCCACAGAAAATGTGTATGGAAACGGCCAAATTTACACCCGGCACTGCCAAGCTTGCGAGCAGGCTGCCAGCCAGAGTAATTATGACTAATCCAGGGTGAAACTATTACAGATTAGGTTTACAACAGATACGGACAAGCGAACGAACGAATGGCAGAAAAACGGGCGGCTTGTGTTATCGTTTGCTATAAAACGTGAACATAATTGAATAGAATCATGCATATGTCTCTACAACACTTACTAGGTCTGTAGCCACAATAAAAAGTAGAACTTGTGTCTTTGCTTCTTGTAGATCAAAAATGATTGGATATTTATTACTTCTTCACGTTGTTGGCGTCATGGTCCAGGCCAGGTAAAATTCGTGAACAACCTAAAATTTAATAAATTTCGTGTTATAGCTACCCAGTATAAAGAGGTTAGTTTAGTTTAGATTTTCTCTAGGAGTAACGTAAGGGATGTCCTCTAATGGACCTCTAGGAGAAGAATAGTTTAGAACTGATAAAACTATCCAGCATAAATTAAGGGCGTATTTCTAGAGAGAACAGTTTAAAACTATTCAGTATAAAAAAACTACTTAAGTCATAAGTTATTTTGCTTTTCAGAACCAATCACATTGGTGAGATGATAACGCCCAATTTGATGGAAAACGATGCAAATTTAAACCCTGGTTTTGACATCAACGCTTTCCGTCTTGATCAACTGAACCTACATAACTATTATCGATCTCTACATGGCGTTCCAGCAATGACTAGAAATGCAGCGTAAGTTTATTTCACTTATATGTAGGTGTCACTGTTGACGTATGTCACCCCCGCGCGCTCGCTCAGCTTAGCCACAGATCTATATAAAAACACTGTAGTGCTATATAAAAACACTGTAGTGTGCCTATTTTTAGTTATTTGCGCCTGGGTACGAGGCAGGTATATGTCACTTATACATGCTTATACGTAGGTGTAAATGCTGCCAATGTTTCCTGAAGCGAATCCGAGGGAAACATTGGCAGTCAAAAGTCCAAAAAACACACGGTTTCCCGAAAATCCAACAATAATTATTTTATTATAAATGTCAATGAACTTTGACACTTGGCATATATAATAATTGAAGTTATAGTAATTAATAATTGATGAGGAAAAGACAAAGAAAATCACTGCCGTGTGGGTGGTTTTATATGTGATAAAAAATCATGTTCATTTACATAAACTTTAACTTTGATTTTCTCGGCTTAGACAACGTTAATTTTTAAAATTACTTCGCCAATGAACTCATACGATGGGTCGTTTTTTAAGCCATTTAAAACACTCACAGTTCGTGCTTTATCAGATATACTCGAGCTGCGCTCTCGCCTTTTATATCTGATAAAGCAATCTTGCTCGTGTTTTAAAGAGTACATATAAAACAATGAACTGAAATCGATCTACTGCAGCTCTTCAAAAATATTTTAATTCTAACTGCAGCCTGGAAGCTAAAGCTCAAGAATACGCTGAAATATTAGCAGCAAAGAACAATGGACTAAATCATTGCGTTTCACCTAAATGCGACAAGAAGGGTGCTGGTGAAAATTTAGCACGGGCTTGGGGCAGTACCGGCGCAGAATCGAATGCAACCAGAGATTGGTAAGGCTGTTTCAATGTTTCACAAAAAAAGTTGATACAGTTACTTCTCTTTCGTCATACTTCCTCCAAGGCATTCATTTCCCATTAAGTCGTTCCTTTATTCAATTCCATCTTTCTTTCTTTCATTCACTCATCCATTCACTCTTTCATGCATTTGTTCATCTTCCTTCCTCACCGCCATTCTTCCCTTCCATTATTTCATCCTTCTCTCTCTCTCTATTACTACCTACCTCCTCCGCCCTTTCCTTTCTACCTTTATTCTTTCCTTCCTGCCTTCCTTCATTTCGTCCTCCCGCACATCCCCCTTCCTCCCCCACCTTCTTTCTTTCCCTCCCTCCATTTCTCTCTACTTCCACCATCCTTTTCTTCTTCCCTCTATTCCTTCCCCATTCCCATCCCCCCTTTCTCCCTCTTACATTCCTTCCTTCCTTCCATCCACCTTTCCTCTCTTTCTTCCCTCCTTTCTTTCCTTTCCTCCCTTGCCCCATTCCTTCCTTACCCCTTTCCTCTCCTTCCCTTCCTCCCACTCTACTTCCCTACCTTACCCTCTCTTCCTCCCCTACTTCCTCCCATCCCCTTAACGCCCTACTTCACCCCC